GCGACCGTCGCAAGGGACCAGAGCCCGAGACCCGCCGCAAGCCAAGAGTCGTTCCGCACGAGCAGCCAGCACAGCATCCAGAGCGTGGCATCGGAGCGCAGCTTCAGCGGCGCAAATGGACACACCGACTCTGCGTACGGCACCGGACTCGACGATGCGCAGGAACCACCCCGCAAGCGCATGCGCACCGAAGAGTCATTCTCGCAGCCCAATGGCGTCGACATGTCGATGCGCGATCTAGGCTCACCCACCGAGCCCAGCGAATCCTTCTACCACCAGACCGGACACCAGATCACGCTCCCTGATGGCGAGGTACCGTCGGCGCTACCTCCGCTGCCACATCCAGATACCAAGAGCAGCGAGGAGAAGCAGGCGATGCTGACCGACCTCTTCGCCGACCAGACGCGGACAGACTTTACCCACCACCCAGCGATACTACATCTATCAGGTGCCGACCTTGACATGCCCATCGACAACAGCGCCAACACTGCACTACACTGGGCCGCCACCCTGGCCCGCGTATCACTCATGCGATTGCTCGTCTCCAAGGGCGCAAACATGTTCAGAGGCAATGCAGCCGGCCAAACGCCCCTGATGAGCGCAGTATCAGTCAATAACAGTCTGGACCACAGCTGCTTCCCCGAGACACTCGAGATCTTGGCACCTCTCATCGAGCTGCGCGACACCCAGGGTCGGACCATTCTCCACCACATCGCAGTCACGTGCGCTATCAAGGGCAGGGCAGCGTCGAGCAAGTACTATCTCGAAGCCCTGCTAGAGTACCTAGTCCGCAGCAACATCGGCGCCAGCCAAGCAATTTCGTTCCAGGACAACTATCCCAAGCCTATTGGACTTATGCGATTCATGCAGGAGATGGTGAATGCTCGCGACAAGGCTGGCAACACCGCGCTCAATCTTGCAGCACGCATCGGCAACCGCAACATCATTTCCCAGCTCATGGAGGTCCAAGCTGATCCCACCATCCCAAATCACAAGGGGAACTAGGCCAGTCGATTTTGGTGTTGGCAGCGATGGTCTTGATGGTCATACCATTGACATTGCTGCCAGTCCCAGCAAAGGCAAGGCACCACTAAGCAAAGTGGAGGAGACCAGCCGGGGAGATCCAACCGCGTAAGTCAATCTGCAACTGTTTGCCGATCCAGTACTAACACAATCCAGTAATGAGCGGTATCCTCCAGTCCGCTTCTATGCAGTTTACACAGGAAGCGCGCCTAAAGCAAGACTCCATTGACCGCACCAACGATCTAATCACACAGCTATCGAGTCAACAAAAACAGGAGCAACAAAGGCTCGAGCACCTGCGCAATCGACTGCGGTTACGACAAGACCGAGCGAAACGGATAGCGAACCTCAAGCGGTGGCTCGAGCCACAAAGACACATGTTGTCCGTGAATGCTGGCGTGGCCGAACTTCAAGAGAAACGAAGGATAGGATATGCCGATGCGGAGGGCGCGGGCTTCCTCATCAACGAAGAAGACCTACCTTTTGAGCTACGCCAAGTCGGGGACGCTCTCATACGACACGCTTCTGATGGACCGTCTTATCTCTCGACACCATTACCGCTTGATCCAGCTTCTTTCTCGAATCACCAGACTTCGCCACATCTCGCACGGATCTCCACCCCAGTCCTCCGACACCGCCTCGACACCTACACCCATGCCAACGCCGCGTTGCTCACGCGAAGTCGAAAACTAAAGGAGAAGGATGGTCAACTCGAGCAAATGTATCGCAAGGTAGTGTCATTGTGCACAAAAGTTGAAGAGAGCAGGATCGAGGAATGCTTGGAGAGTCTCGTCGCAGCTCTGGATAGCGAAGAAGGCGAGGGCGTCGAAGTCGGTCGCGTTCGTGAATTCTTGCGCAAGGTTGAAGGCGTCGAACCGTAATGCCACCGCCTCTAGTACGAATTTCCTTCACGTCTTACATAATGGTCAGTGCCTTCGCTTGGCTCACCAGTCTTACGACTTCCTGTTTTCTGTCATGACATTATCACTATTCGGGGCTGCATCACGATCTTCTCTACATTCCATCTTCATATGCACAGCTGCGTGCTGGACTGCTTGCCATGGTCGGCGGCGATATACCAATTCATTCTTAGTTCCATGAAATGCCGTCTTGGCACTCTGTCCCACGCAACCAGACGCGGTTGTCCCTCTTCATTTCTAATTCAAATCAGCACAGGCCCTTCGTGCGATCTACAATAGAGAAAAGTCGATCCACCATAGCAGAGATCGATGGCAGTGGCTCGTTTGGTTCACGAACTCGGTTACCGGGGTCACCGGATGACACCGACCTCCCAGCCACAAACCCATTGGTATAACAACCTCATCCCCTTCTTTCGTGAACTAAGTCATCGCCATCACTTCTTCCAATTCACGATGTCCTCACCGTCCAAAGGCCCGACTGTCCATGAAGTCCCCGTCTCCTCTTCCTCCTCATCCACCACACTCTCCGCTGCCTTCGAAGAACGCATGCTCGAAACCATCAAAGGCTCCACATATCTCGTTGACTGGTATGGCTCCGGTGATGCCGGTAACCCACAAAATCTGCCGCGTTGGCGCAAATGGCTCATCACCATGTCGATTGCGCTGTACGTGCTCACCACGACGTTTGCGAGCAGTGTGTTCAGCCCTGCTGCGATGGCGACGAGTAGAGAGTTTGGGGTTAGTTTGGAGGTCATGGTTGGTGCGGGGACGAGTATGTTCATGTTGGGTTTTGCGGTTGGGCCGATTATCTTTGGGCCGCTCAGTGAGCACTTTGGTCGCAAAGGTCCATTGCTGATTGGGTATTTGGGCTTCGCTCTCTTGCAACTACCCGTTGCTCGAGCGCATTCTGTGTCGACGATCTTCATCTTTCGCTTCCTGCAGGGCGTGTTTGGAGCGGCGCCGAGTGCAGTGTTGAGTGGCACGCTGGCGGATATATGGACACCGCAGCAGAGAGGGTTTGCCATGCCTGCTGTTGGGTCATTTTTGATGATTGGTCCAATCTTAGGCCCAATAGTGAGTGTTTACATCTCAAAGAAATAGCGCAATCTGATGGTGACCAGGTTGGATCAAGAATCGTCGTTAGTTCGCTTGGATGGAGATGGTAAATCGCCCTTCCCCAGTATCTCGTCACGCGCTCATACGTTCACACAGGATTGAGTACCTCATCGCCATCGCGTCCCTCGCAAATGCACTCATCACCTACCCCATCCTGACCGAAACATTCGGCCCCGTCCTTCTCACCCGTCGCGCAAAGCGCATGCGAAGCATGACCCAGAACTGGGCATACCACTCCAAATCCGAACAAAACGCCCTTACCACCCGCGACATACTCTCGCAATGTCTCGCCAAGCCCGCGAAAATGCTCTTCCTCGAACCAATTCTCTTGCTCATGTCGCTTTACATATCCGTCGTCTTCGGTACTATTCACCTCCCCTCTCCCTTTCCTTCATCAAAATCACTAACGAGATGTGTTGTAGGGCTCATGTACATTTTCTTCCTCGCCTACCCAACCTCCTTCATCCTCGAGCGCCACTACTCCCCCACAACCGCCACCCTCCCCCTCCTCGCCATCCTCCTCGGCTGTATCCTCGCCTCCCTACTCATCTCGCTGACAATTCACACGCGCCTCGCGCCAAACCCCGCCGCCGGGCGCCCTCGCGAATACCGCATGCTGCTCATGGCGCTCGGCGGTCTTTTCCTGCCGCTAGGCATCTTTGCGTTCGGCCTCACCAGCTCGCCTTCACTCAATCCTATCTGGCAGATCCTCGCGGGCGTCCCGATTGGAATGGGCATTATCCTGATCAACATGCAGGGCCTGAATTACATCGTCGATTGCTATGGTGTGCATGCGAATAGTGCAGTCGCGGCAAACACGTTCCTGCGGAGTGTGTTTGCAGCGGGCATGCCGCTTTTCGCGACGGGCATGTACGCGCGACTGGGCGTGGAGACGGCGACGGTTATTTTGGGGGCGTGTGCAGTGGGGTTGGTGCCGATTCCGGTGGTGTTCTTTTTGTGGGGCGGAGCGATTCGCAGGAGGAGTCGGTGGGTGGCGGAATAGAATTGAGGAGGGGATTGGCGGTGTTGAGGAAAGTTGTGATACTTGAATGCGGATATTCTTGGTGGGAGCTTGGAAGAGGTTGAATTCCAGCAGATTGTGCAGAAGTCAAGCCTTTGAGGCATTTTTGGGTCCTTGTGATGTGCCGTGCCGCACTTGAGACAGTTTAGGCTCGCATATGAGGACATTGGTTATTTGTTATAGTATCCAGAATTCTGGAGCGCCTTGTGGCTTGACTGCCGTAGCTTTTCTTGTGCGTCAATGAGCACTGGAAAGCTGCGTAGAATAGCTTTACGGAAGTAAAATGTAGGCAGTGATGAATGTGTACCTGACTATTTGCTTCTGAATCTACAACTCAAGTTCGTTCGGAGACTAACTTTCTCTTCTATTTGGGCTGGAAAGTATGGTCGTTTATCGCTGCAGGCTCCGCAATCCAGGATCTAATTTCGCGTTGATGTCTGGAGGCGAAAGAGCAATAGCATATACACAAAACGATACAATCATAGTCGTATCATTCGTTCCTTGGTTAAATAACCAGACCTTTCGCGTGATGAATTAAGCGCACCCCTAACAGTCGGCTTGAGGCCACCGAGCAAGGCCTCCCGCATCGATCCACCCGCAATTCGCTTGATCACACCACTGGCCGAAACAGACTCTTTGATCCTTGGAAATTCTTGGAATAGGACATCCAGGCACCGAAATCTTGATTCTTGTTGTTCTGCAAGCCACTTTGTCTCCTGAGCATGCTTGCTACGTATGTGCCACAGGTGTGCATGTTCCCACACAATTCTTCAGACTCACACGATTTGCAGTTATTATATATCCGACAAAAAGTCCCATTACGGGTTCCCGAGTTTTGAAATCCGAGGTCTGGTAGGACGATAATCAATCACGCCGAGTAGGCAAGCAAGACTTGCTGACACTGGGTAAGGTAGTCGAATTTTGAGTATCCGAGCCCTGATAAAGCAAAGTGCCTTGTCTACCAATCGTGGTTTGTTACGGCAAACGATGCCTTTGTCTATAGTTGCCGCCCTTAGCGGCATCGGTATCGCATTAGCCATCTACACAGCTACCATCTTCTCGATCCTACACGTTCCTTGGATCGAAACCCATGCTGTTTACATGCATAAACTACGACTGATTGGTCGTAAAGATCTAAGGTATCCAGAACAATTCGGATTCGCTCATCGTCAAGTGTCATCTTTCTTCCTCGAAACCAAAGACGGCGTCAGCTTGCATGCCTGGCATGTCTTGCCGGTTGGTGTGTACCACAAGAACGCCACACGGTTGGTGCGCCAATGTTTGGATGCAAAGTCTCAAGACACACTCAACTTTAACTTGTTGAAGAGTGATCCGGAGGCTAGACTGGTCATTCATACCCATGGTTCTTCGGGGGCTTTGGCGGCCTACTGTCGTAGCGAAACATACCGCGCCTTATCGTCACTGGCACCCAACAAGATTCACGGGTTGGCATTCGACTATCGTGGCTTCGGTCTGTCTTCCGGCGTCCCAAGTGAGCAAGGTCTCCGTGTCGACGCACAAGCTATCTTCGACTGGGCCCATAAGACTGCAGGGGTGCCATCAGAACGTATCGTGGTCTTCGGACAGTCGATGGGCTCCAGTGTAGCCATTGCCCTTACACGAGACCTTGCACTGCAGAAGATATCAGTGGCCGGCCTTATAATTACGGGGGCTTTTCCGGACGTGCCAACAATGTTAGGCAAATATCGTACTATCTTTAGCCTTCGACCCTTTGGGCTGCTCGCTAGATTCCCGGGGCTGATAGCATTCTGCACTCGGCGCATGCGCAACAAGTGGGCGAACATAGACGCGCTGATGGATCTCGTGCGTAACTGCTCTCGTTACCATGTTCAAATATTGCACGCCCAAGACGATCGTATTGTGCCTTGGACTTTCAGCAACAGCTTCTTTGAGGACGCAGTCAGAGCTGCTGGTCATTCGCAACTTGGCGACGAAGAGTTTGAAGAAGAGAAGAAGAGGAGGACAAATCAAATGGGGGAGGGAGGCTGGTCTGTCGAGTGGCCGACGTCTCGCGGATTGATACGACAGGAGGTACCGCGTTATGGTGAACATGATAAGATTATGTTGCATCCGAGTATCGCGTTGGCCGTGATACGGGCATTTCAGAGCAGAGAATCTAATTTCCAGGGTTGATCATGTGAACAAAATTTTGGCTGCCTTCATTTTATTCGTCTTCCACCAAGCAGAATGTATTGGAAAGTTACAATTGCAGGATAACACAGGCTTCGCCACCCGATTTTGCATATATTTCCAAGTCCCTCGAGGAGATGAAGTTGCAAACGCACTCCTGCCATATTATTGAGACTACATTTGGCCAATCTAATAAGCTTGAAAACTGCATACACAGCGATAGAAACTATGTAATTATGTGGGTCACTGGTCGCATATTTTCGTCCAATCTTTTCGTCTCCACCTCAGTAGATCTAGGTTAGTCCAACAGTTCTTTCATCTCGTCAGGACGGCTAATCTCATGCAATTGCATGCCGAAGTCATCTTTCATAGGCCTCATGGCGTGTGGAGGGCCACCATGTCTCGCTGGATGGAGTGAATTAGCAAAAGACTCCGCACTACATCGAGGTCGCCAATTAGGTACGCTTATATTGGGAGTCGCATTCAGACTAATAAGATATTGGTACTTAAAGAAGGTTCGATGTCTCACACCCGGGCAGACAAGCGAAAAGAAACAGTGGTTGAGTTTGGTCTGAGCGGGAGCGAAAACATGCATGAATGCTCGCGTATTTCATCATCGCGACCTGAGGAAGTCTAGGGCATTAGGAAGAGGCGAGTCTAGTGCGAGGTGCGCTACCCCATCTAATTCTTGCAGCGATCGCTAGACCTACAGATCCCATTGCGAAAAACCACAAAGGCAGGACCGATATATGGCCCTGTCGGGTGCCGACAGCTAACACGATTCCGCAAACAGCCAGGATGACAGCAAAGAGAAGAACGAAGAAGTTCCGTACAATAAAACGTCCGAGCCACAAGATGGCTCGTGCTGGCACTCTAATGCGAGAGTCATCATGTTGCCATGGGGGCGTAGAACTGTCTAGGTCTTCTCCTAAGAGTGGAGTCTGCACATTGCCTTCTATGTTGTTGAGGCTGCGCTGTGCCTGGTCCAGAGCTGACTGTGTATTTGCACGAGAATCATCGTAGGTAACACTGTCGCGATCAGTTAACTGTTCGTTGTGTTCGAGCCATGTCTCCCACTCACGCCTGCGCAAACCTCACTAATTCCCTGCCTAGTCGCATGACTGTGAAAGCTATTTATTTGACTTCTTTTGATCTTGCATTCAAGTCGCTGCTTTCTCATCCCGAGGTCGCTTGCTGATTCAGTCAGTTGTTGCTATATACTTGGAGTGAATCGTTACCCTCGAGGCTGCCTATCGGGTCAACGTTGAATAAATTACGACTCGAGGTTTTGAACGTTGGTGTCTCTTCCCGTAGGCGCCGAGCACCCCACCTTCGGCTGCACAGGACAATGCCAACCAATCAAACCCACGATAGAGGCTGTGGCTAAGTTCTGTCAGCCGCCCAGCCTTCCTCCTCAACAATCCCATCTTGCCTCTGCGACGTTTGTCACTGTAACGAACATGGCTGACCCTATCTCCATCCTTGGGCTTGTCGCAGGCATCATCACTTTTGTCGACTTCGGCTACAAGGTGATTTCGGGCAGCAAAAGCGCGCGCGACTCGATTCAAGGCAGAACTCCTGATGTAGCCAGGTTGAACAAAATTGTTCAAGAGATAAGACTGATGAACGCGGCACTGGTATCGCAGATCTCAGGACAAAGAAAGCCATCGCCTCTGGAAAAACATGTCATCGAAATGGTTCAAGAGAGCGAAAAGTTGAATTTGCAACTGCATAAGGAGATCGAAAAGCTCACAATGCGATCTGAAACTCGATTTAAGCATCTGGAAAGTGGTCGTGTTGCGTTACAAAGTATACGAAGTCACAAGAGTTTACAATCTCTCGGTAAAGAATTATTGGTATTGGACCATCGCGTCAGAAGCGGCATTCAGATGGTTCTAGAACTGTAAGTTGCACCACAATGACTTATGTACCACTCACCCTTGAAGGCTTAAATATTCTCCACACAAGCAATAGCTAACTTGTGGCATCTTTCGAACAGTAACCATCATGATTCCGTCATGTCAAGGCTGAAAGACCTCCAGGACTCACAGAAAGCACTTGGAATAGATCATGAAACGAAGTTCAACCAGATCAAGGACAGCATCATTCATTTGACTGGGCAAGAGCATCAGAAACATGTGGTACAGATCGCAGAGCAAGGTGCTCAGCTGTTAAGCCTAAAAGCCAAAGTGGATGCACTTTTGAAGGAGCACTCCGATTCTTCGAAGGCTATACGAGTCGTGAGAAGCTTGTACTTCCAAGAAGTTCGTCGCCGGTTCGATCAAATACCATACTCTGACCGACGTTCAAACGACTGGATATATGATCCATCCTTGACCACTTTCTCGCTTTGGCTAGAGAGCAATGCAACTGCAGATGGATTGTTCTATATTTGGGGAAAGGTCCGCACGTCAGCATAAACTGATGATCAAATACTAACAAAATTCAGCCAGGCAGCGGGAAGTCCACTTTGATGAAGTACATCTCAGAAGACGAGCGGACCCGAGACAAGTTGAAGACTTGGTCACGTACAGAGAAGCTCTACATCGGAAGCTACTTCTTCTGGAATCAAGGCAGCGAGATGCAGAAAAGCCGGACGGGCCTCATGCAGTCTTTACTTTACCAGATCCTGAGAGCTTCACCGGAACTCATTCCACCGGAAGTCGGTGGACGACTAGATCACGAGGTGTGGGACATGAATGAAATGATTGCCACATTCGAGTATATCGCGAACCAGACTCGGTATAGCTCCAAATTCTGCTTCTTCATCGACGGTCTCGACGAATACAATGGCGATGAAAATGATATAGCGCCGATGTTGAAGGTATTGATATCTTCTCCGCATATCAAGCTTTGTGCGTCTAGTCGACCAGGGCGGCTGTATGAACAGTCGCTACGCCGCGAGGATCGTGCCTTTGATATTGCGCGTTTCACCAAGGAAGACATGCGGCACTACGTTCAAAATCGCCTTACTGTCAACACAAAGTTTCAAAGGTTATCCTTACAAGGAACGGGGTGCCAAAATATTATTTCAAATATCTCTGGACATGCACGCGGCGTTTGGCTGTGGGTGTTTCTGGTGACTCGCGACATCCTATATGAGGTGGACCGTGATGAGGGCATACTCACGCTTCAGAAGATAGTCAACGAGTTTCTATCTGACCTAGAGAGGTACTTCGAACGTATCATCGATAGGATCAAGGACCGACACAAGGAGGAGATGGCCCAGACCTTCCTGGTCACCGTTCATGAGCTGCAACCTCTGCCTTTGTTTGCTTTTGCGCTACTTGAAAGGGAACGGACACGGCCAGACTACGCTCTCGAGACACCGATTGAACCAGTCTCATTGGATGAAATAGAGCCAAAACATCCGGTTTGGCAAGCTCGCGTGCGCAATAGATGCGGGGATCTTCTCGTCATCGATCCTGGGCCTCATCCAGTGTATCTTAGCCATTCAGTCGACTTCATGCATCGAACTGTGCGAGACTTCCTCCGCGACTGCTATCACGATAATCTCAGAAATTATCTCACACATGAATTCAGTCCTTTAGTATCGCTATGTAAGATTCACTTGTGTCTGCTGAAAGCTTTGCCGGTCGACAACTTCAGAGACCGCAGGTCAGTCAACAGGATCATTGGTCTCACAGATGAGTTACTATACTACGCTCATGAGGCGGAGAAAAACTGCACGCACCAGGAGCAGAGAACTCTGGACGGATTGCTGAACGAGTTGGATAAGGTGAACAGTCATCATGCGCGTAGTATTAGAAACCACTGGACACATGCCCGAGACTCTCCTGCGAAGTTGGGTTTCGACCATTATCGCGAGGGAGGACAATGTAACTTCCTCGCGTTGGCCGTTCAGGCCAGGCTAGCCAAATATGTTAGTACAAGGCTGCAAGCGGACAAGCAGATCATGCAAAAGGGAGGCAGACCACTGTTGGACTACGCGCTTCGCCCACGCCGTGTCACTCCAATCTCTATGGACTACCATACGACAAGAGACGATCCCAGCGTCGATATTAAAATGGTGGAATTGCTCCTTGCGCATGGCGCGAACCCAAATCAGTCGGTCCATCTTTACGATGGTGAATCTGTGTGGGCCCTGTTTCTTCTGTCTATCCACGAGGCGAATCGGCAAGAGGGATCTGGCACGTCACCACCCGAGAGTCTAAAAACTGCTTGGTACGCATCATGCGAAGCAATGATTAGAGTCGGCGCTCAGTCTGATCACATAACTGTGGTTGTGAAGGGTCGGCCTGGGCTCAACACAACCACGATCCTCAGTGGCGTCTTTGGACCTGAGAGGGCGAAAATTCTGGAGGATCAAATAGAAGCTATCGCAGCTCGTAAGGAAATGGAAGGGGAGAAAAGCGATTCTGAGAATTTCTGTTTGATGATGTAACAATATCAACATGAACGGACCTGCCACCGACAAGCTGCCATAGAGGCTGTCATGTACAGACATGATTCTTGATGTACCAAGCCGGCGTGATCTTTTAGCCTTGGCCTGACTATAATGATTGGTTCCAATATTATAAACAGTAAATATTGCCGGGCGTTCGGTGACCAGCACGTTCAACAACCACTTCCCAATCCAAGGCTTCATCATATCCTTATCGAGGGGCTTCCTATTCTTTGTCTCTCAGTCAGCTAAGAACTCTCATAGACTTCCAATTTTGGAGCAAGACTGCGTGATTTCACCAAGTCTTCGAAGAAGATCAGCAACTTGATTACTATGTGCTTCTCTGCTTCTTTCTTCTACAGTGAAACCGTCATTGATGTCCCAATGCTCATGGTCGTCTTGCTTATTCAGAATATTCGTCGCCTGCTGAGTGGTCGGACATGTGATAAGATTAAGCAAACGTCAGCTCAATACTTTTATGACCCACCCATTACCAGTTTGAGGTGAGCGAAGGGGAAAATTAGTGAGTGGATATGATACCCACTCGTATCTAGCATAATACGCCCGTTACGCTGTTTGCAGTGTTTGTTTGCAAACGCGCCTTATGTCTCAGTCATGTGTACCCCCATTCAGGTTGAGAGCGCACGAACGCTGAGCAAATGAAGATGACCGGAGTGAATCGTAGGTATCTACTAAATGAGCGTCATGAGGCTGAGACATACTTTCTTTAGTGGAAGATCGGCGAAAGGCCTCCCGCCCGCACATGGTGAAGTTGACCAGCTATGCCTTAGTGCTCGGCCTGTTATAGCTTATTCCGCGAGTACCCCTTGTTCACATTGTCATCAACATCAAAATACATATGAATAATCATGGTCTGCCATTAGGGCTAAAAATTGCGCAGCAAGGGGTGTTTTTGTTTTACTCAGGGAGTGCATCGCTGTGCGCCCCTAGGCACCCTTCTCTCTGCGTAATAATGTGGACTGCATTCGGCAGCTGAACTTTTCTTGGCACGCCAGAAGGCTGTCAGCATGTTTGCCATCACCCGTACTTAATATTGATGATGTCGCAAAAGGATGAACCAGTGGCGCTGCTTGAACCAATTATAACCTTGCAATGAGGCACCGAGTTTAGATCGTCCGGACTAGGTGTCTAAGCCCCGGCAGTCATCAACTTGCTAGTCGAGCCCGACAGGTATCCAGTGGATGCCTTAAAATGTCAAAATTCAACAGAATCGCCTGTGAGCTTTAGGGTGTGAGCTGGATGCAGTCGTATTGGTCGGTATCGCCAGCCTTGTATTCTCTTCTGAGACAGTCTGCACATGCAAGAAGAACAGACAATGCGCAAATTTTTACCGTTTTGACTTCTCAAGAGCTTCCTTTCTCCAAGATTTGCATTCTAACTTCACAGATGCCATGTTCCTGGTGGCGGAGTCGGGGCGTGATACCCAGCGAATCGATACGACCTACAGCCAATCTTGTTCTGCTTCAAAGATTTTATATGGATAACCAGCATGGCGATCCACGAGCATGTAAGAATCGGTGTTCAATCACCGAATACTCAATTCCTAAACGGTGATGATAAAAACGCCTTACATGAATCAGTCATGAAGATTGATTGCGCTGATTGCGAATGGACGTATCACAGCGAAGCTTCCACGGCCACCGCGTTTGAGGCTGATCGTATATGCACGGACTACGTAGCCATTTGTGGTTGGTAAACAGGCTTCTCCTTTTCATGACATACTATCCTACGTGAGTTTCGGTTCCCCAGGCTTTGCAGCGCGCTACATCAGATCAATTTCCGGGCAAGTCGGCATGCATCGTGATCTTCACAGAATCTCGAACTAATGTTTTCGCTAAGCCTAGCTCACTAGGAAGGCTGAGTTATGAAACTAGGCAGTATCTGGCTCCAATTAACATGCTACTAAAGGTCGGGAGCTATGTGCAGTTTGGTTTCGTGTTTCACTGACACATTCATTCTCCCGAGACGCCGGAAATGCTTCAACCTCTTCGCGTAAATTCTATCACTCTATACTCCTAAGTCCCCGCTTGCGACAGGAAATATCATGCTACGGCCTGTCATTCTATTCAGAATACTCACAGTTGGTGCGCTGCTGTATGCGCTCAGCCTCGCACGCCGACAGTACCTCTTCCAGAACTACCTTCACGCCAGGCGAATCACTTCCACCGATTTCCCCGCACCGTACGTGAAAGTACTGAACGATTCCGTTGCTGAAGGCAAGCAGCCTCCGAAGGACTTCGACTACACGTCCACGTTTCCGCAGTCCCAGATCCCGAAGACCATCCACTTCATTTGGTTTCAGAACTTGTACCCCACGAATGACCACAGCCCCAGCCAGATACCCACGACCATCTCTCGGGCACCGGAGCTGTGTCGGGAGCACAATCCCGATTATGAGATCAACATCTGGAATGCAACCAGCGCGCGCACGTTCATAGCGCAGGAGTACTCGTGGTTTCTTCCCACGTATGATGGTTATAGGCATCCCATTCAGCGCATCGATTCGTTGAAGTACTTCGCGTTGTATCATTTCGGTGGCGTGTACATGGACCTCGACATCTCCTGTCGCCGGCCCCTGGATCCACTTCTTCAGTTCTCAGCATGGTTTCCCGAAGCTTCTCCGCTGGGTGTCAACAACGACTTGATGGCTGCGGCTGCACGGCATCCTATCTTCAAGCGAATGACAACAGAACTAGAGCGACATGACAAGAACTGGTTGTTCCCGTATCTCACGATCTTCTGGTCCACTGGACCACAGTTCACAAGCGACATCTTGAAAGAATGGTTTGAACACTACAAAATCGAAGCACTAAAAACACAAATGGAAAGAGGCATTGATGGTATGTCGAAATGCGCAGCGTGCACACGATCAAGCGCTGACTGTTCATAGCATCCCCGTCCTCATTCTTCGTCCTCCCTCAAGTATACTACTCGGAGCAGTACACATTCTTCGGTCACAGTCCCGGGGGAACTTGGCATGGCGGTGATGTCGCTGTGGTGTTGTGGTTCGTTGGGAAGCCTTGGATATTGCTGTTGATACTCGTCCCCGTCGCGGCTGCATGGCACAAGCTTAGAAAGAGGCAGAGAAGGTTATCATGGAGCAAGAGCGAAGATAAGTCGAATCCAGTCTGAAACGCAGATGCATATTGCCACTAGGACTCCCCATCACCGGAAGTACGCTCTGGTGTCGCACGATTTGTATTTGCCGTCACCTAAAACCGCCCCTGTAACACTAGAGCGACACCATTACTCCGACCTCACAAGTCAACAATCTGTGATTGACAAAGTAATTGACATTACGTTCGCCGCCCCAGTCGATCTCGCGCTCTATACAATGTTGTCAAGGAGGAAATTTTGGAGTGAAGCAATTGGCGTGCATGTCGCAGGCGACATTGACTGCTCGACTACGAAGGAAAGCAGACAAGCTCACCAATGATGTAAGAGTCGGGAACTGTACACAGTGTTGCTAGTCTTCGAAGCCCATGTAAACCTCCTGGACACCGCTCGTAAATACTAGATTGGCTGCCACCTGTTCCACATTGGCTTTTCATCGTACACATGTATCGTTGAAGGTGGTACACATGAGTCGTAAAAATGACTATGCGGAGTACATCGACAAGCACAGTATAATCACAGACAAATATAGCTATAATTTCATAGCTTCAGTAAGAGCTAGCAGACTGGTTATCAAAGTGAATGATAGCAATCACGTTGCGTTTTCGGAGGCTCCATGGCTGCAAATCAGCAAACGCCAAATGCCATAAGTATCTGCAGGGTCTCCGCGCTTCTTACTCCGATCGCAGTACTCTCCCAGCCTACCAGCGCTTTACTGCTTTACTCGTCACGATATCAACCACAGTCATGGACCCTATCGCTGAGGGCTGGAAGAAGCTACGACTGTAAGTTTTACCGGTACTTATCATTAATTGTGATTAATTCTTCATGTCTAGGCTGTTCATAGAAGAGCAAGAGCAGCAAGCAATGGACAATGTCCAGAGCATCCTAACACAGCCCAGCGACATGCATCAACTTCTCGAGCGCGCCATGATTGATGCAAACGAAGAGCAGACAATGACGTCTCTCGATTCTATTAGATCGTCTCTTGGTATGAATCGGGACATCGACGATATTGAGACTGAGATTGGGGTTGCGATCGAGGAGTACAATGTTCACTTCTGCCGGGCGATCGCCGTCAAGCTCCTTGCCAAGCTGCCGCGCGAGCTTCGCGACATGGTGTATTCACACCTCCTTCCTGGTGATATCAACCTTTGCAGAATCTTTTCCGACACATTTCACGTTACGCTAGACCATCCCCTATACGACGAGGGGCCTGGCGAAGAGGATACTGAGAGGTTGTATTTCCCGGAGTGCGCGCGCTCCGCAGCTGGAGACACTCTTTGTCCTGAGTATTTTTGGCGCGACGATGTCGTTGGTGTGCAAATGGCGCATGAGCTCATGGAAACGTTTTACCAGACGACAAAGTTCTCGTTCGAAAATGTATATGGTTGCAAACCAATAGACGGCACCTTCCTTCCAGATCTGTTGCAGACCGACCGGTTTGCCGCTGGTTTTGAGCCGCGCCAGTTGATCTCAAACTACTCACAAGAACTCTGCATCCAGAACGAGGCGCTCGGACTACACCAGATCGACACGCTAACACTAAACACGTGCCTTGAAAACCTCTGGCTGCTGAAGGGGAATGCCAGAATCCTTCTCAAGGTTAGTTTTAATAACGCCACGTTCTCACATCAAAAGTCACAAGCGACTACTGTTGATGAGATTATCAAAACTGCTTTTCCTGAGATAGTGAGGCTTCGGACAGCAGGATATCGACTTTCGGTCGAGCTGGAGGACGGAGGATGCCACCAGGAAACAAAGGCTGTGTTCTCACACTGGATGAACAAACTCGAGCTAGAAGTGCGCACAACACCGACCAACCCAGCAGGTTCCGTTGAATAATCGAGCCAGCTCTTTTGCATGGTAGGAAAGACCACGCATACAGATCATATACAAGGCGCTGTTGAGAGTCGGAAGGACAAGGATGGAAACACCTGGAAAATCTTTGACACAAAGTGAAAGAGAGAATTGCCAACCAGCAAACGCAGCCCGATAACCACGACGCAATGAAGCTAGGTACCTGGTTATACGATTAGTCGTCAAGATGAATTGAAACACATGTGTGACATTCATTTCGTCGCTTAATCTTCCGCGGACGCGGATAAATACCTGTGAGGCCATGCCGAGCTCAGTGCCCAGCCTTTTGCCTGAAGGTCTGCAACCCTGGCTGAAAATGTACAATGGGGCTAACACTCGAGACGAGGACTTCCTAAAGTCCTATGCGAATGATGAGGTGGCGTGCTTACCTCCAAGTACCAAATTGAACTTTCATGCTGATCTTATTGCTCATGGTACGGGCGAGACAATCTTGGAAGAGTATGTAGGAGCAAAACCTTTATGAAGGAGACATCGGGAAGGGTCCTGCGTCAATGGTGGTGTCTTGAATCACACATGTGGGGAGTTTTGTCAAATTTTGAAGTGCGAAGAAGTACAGAACAGGTCGTGAAGAGTGAGTTCTAGATAGTCGCGTCGGTGCATCCCTAGCCGCGTCGGTCCCCGCGAAGTTTTACCCCGCACCCCACGGTGGAGATGCCAAGCTAGCTTTTTGCAAACCTGAGCTTCTCCGAACCTATCACATAGCGCCGAGATATTCCCAAGATTTCTTCGTGTCCGCTTCCAAGTCTTGCTTACCCCAGAGTCGCTGTGAAAGCCCGCGTATCTGCCTAGATGCGGCAGGTCGCCCGTGGCGGCACCACCTCGGGTGGCTCGCGTGCAGGATGACTGTTGCCGCGTGGTAGTGTAGCATCGGTGCAAACGCCGATATCCATACGGCGTCAAAATCTTGCTCCGTGGTTGTGGTTACTATAAGGACTGAGCAGCTGCCATTTGAAGATGGTATCGGCAGCGGCTGTCGTTACCTGCAATCGACAGCGATCTACTGAACACCCCAACATCACTCAACATGGGTTGCTTCAGTACCCACGCCTCAGGGACTCTGGATCCTCCGTAAGGAATATCTGAAATCTAAGCATGAATATGATCTGACATGGAGACAGAGAGGTCCGTAATTGGAGAATCCATCTCATCGCGTTGATTGCGTCAATGTCAGCTCTGGCAAGTAAGTGATGATTCGATATGCGCAAGGAAGTTCGTGTCTAATCAAGAAATAGTGGGATATGATACGGCCGTCATTGGCGGCACTATGGCGCTCACCTCCTTCCAACGTGACTTCAACATGGCTAGTGTGGCCAAAAGTCAACGTGACACAATCCAAGGCAACATCGTTTCGACTTTTCAGGTCAGTATCATCGAGCATCGAACATCGTTCTAAAGACTGATCTTTTTTAGGCTGGCTGCTTCTTCGGTGCACTGTTCGCTTTTCCATTCGCCGAGAAGATTGGTCGCAAGAAGACCATGATCATCGCTTCTTCTATCTTTCTACTTGGTGGAACCCTCATGACCGCATCCCGAGGATCGCTCAACATGATCTACGGTGGTCGTGCAGTTGCAGGTCTGGGTATCGGAGCTTCTTCCATGGTTGTACCTGTGTACATCTCCGAGACGGCACCTCCATCCATCAGAGGACGTCTCATCGGTATCTTCGAAATTGCTTCTCAAGGCGGAGGCATGTTAGGTTTCTGGATCAACTACGCCTGCGACCGCACCATCGACGTCAACAGCCAGTCACAATGGATCATCCCGCTCGCCATTCAACTCATCCCAGGTTTGCTTCTCCTGCTTGGTGTTGCCTGGTGTCCAGAGAGTCCTCGTTGGAAGGCTCGTGGCGACGACTTCGATGGAGCTGAGAGGATTCTTACCAAGATCCGATGCCTTGACGCATCGCACTCTTACATCCAGCATGAAATGAGCGAGATCCGTGCGCAAGTCGAGGAGCGCAGTACCAACCACATGAGCAAGAAGGCACAGTTTATGAAGCTCTTCCAGAAGGGTGTGCGCAACCGCATGGCTATCGGTCTCGCCCTCATGTTCTTGCAGTCATTCACCGGTGTCAACATCATCACGTAAGTCACGTTTGGATACGTCCTTTTCGCAACCCGTACTGACTTCCTCCAGATATTACGCTCCCCGCATCTTTGAAACTCTTGGTATTACTGGAACGTCAACCAAGCTCTTCAGTACCGGTTTCTACGGTATCGCAAAGACCCTTGGAATGTGTTCCTTTACTTTCTTCGTCGTTGAAAGAGTTGGACGCCGCAACGGTCTCATCTGGGGCGCCGCACTTGGATGCCTCCCAATGTTCTACATCGGTGGATACGTCATGAAAGCTGATCCTGCCGCTGCTGCTCTGCAGGGTGTCGTCACCCGCAACGGATGGGGATATCTGGCCATGGTCTGCGTCTACCTAAACGCCTTCATCATCTGCGCCACATGGCAAGGTATTACCTGGACGTACGCATCTGAAATCTTCCCTCTTGATATACGTATGCTTTGCGTGTCGCTCACCACCGCTGACACATGGCTTGGATCCTTCATCATTGCGCGTAGCACGCCTTACATGATCTCCGACCTCGGATACGGCGCGTACTTCTTCTTCGCCTCTATCCTTGTTGCAATGGGCGTGTGGAGTTTTTTCTTTGTGCCCGAGACAAAGGGTATCTCACTCGAAGAGATGGACGCACTGTTCCAATACCCTGTTCACAAGGCTGTATGGGCACAGCTTCGTGGGAAGCCAATACTCAACGAAGATGTTCTTGCCAGGGGCAAAGGTCTAGACGAAAAGACCATCGCTGTTGAGCGTGTTGAGAAGTTGTGAAGACGATTGCATGAGCAAACAAGAAATAACGACCTCCAATATTTACATACATATCCTAAGCGGTGCTGTTGAGTGACTCAGCTCGCGTCAGCTCTCACCCAATACAAGTTTGCTGTCCCATCGCTGCCCTTCAACCACAAGTGCAGGATGTCTCTCCCAAGCGTTTCACTTGCGTTCTTCGTCAATATGTAGTTCCGACTCTGGTTTGTTCCCAACCAGCTAGTGTGCGATGACATGACCAACGGCCCATGTATTAGCCTGCCGACTGTTGCAGTACTATTCTCCCACTCAACATGCAGCTGTCCAGAATATGCTAGACTGTGCTTGCTCATAAGTGCGCGGTCTGCGTCCGTTGCCTCGTCGGGGTTTCGTGTTGGAGGAATGTGCTCTGGGTCTGTCGAAGATATACTGGCGGACATGTATCCCGCTGGATCGTAGATGATTTGACCCACTGGGTGCCGACCGAAGTTGTCTCGAGATTTAATATTACCGTTCAAATCGACTCTTGAAGCGCTGTTAGTGTCTACCGTCGTATTTCGCATAATATGTGAGGACGTACTGCGACTGATTAATGAATAGCCATGTACCACCAAGGCTGGTAGCAATGTGGTTTGGCAGAACCATTGTGGAAAATGAACACTCTTATGTTGATATCTCCACTTGTAGGTGAAGAGCGCCTCTATCGGACAACACGTAAACCATTTGCGTGTCTTATATATACCTGTGCTCAAGTGCGCAATGAGTCTTATCAGCACAGCTGTCCCATGAGCATTACTTTCGATTTGTGCTTCTCAAGGAGCCTAATTATGTGCTTACTTCCTGAGGTCATCGCAATCTCGGTGCACATTTAAGATGGCAGGCACTTAAAAACTGTCCCGCTAAGCGAGCTGTATTGCATGATGCTTATCAGCGGTAAGCACTCTCGAAGCCCCGCCTCGGTCGCAATGATATCTGCTCGCAATCATATTCGCTCACAAAGGCTAGATGTCTACACGTCATTTTATAAACTTCGCGAGAGAATGTTAAGGAAAGATGAAGTGGTATGCGGGGTCGCTGTGAAAGCACGCGAGCCGTTACCAAATCCGGCCTAGTAGAAAGGTCATCAGAAAGCACCAATCAATATAAGGATGACATCACACAACACCAGTGCTTCTAGTAACGATGTCTTCGATTGACTCACATCACGACTTCACATGGTATCGACACACGATGTCTACCACCGAAACGATGACGGTTTATGAACTGCAGCAGATAAACTCCACAGTGCGGGAGCCAAGCACTGTCGAAACAGATGAGCGAGGCGGCAGGGAGCGAAAGTCCGACAGAAAGCGGCTGCTTGCCCTGGTTGGCTCGGCGGTCGCCCAATTACCAATATGGGGTACTCCACACCAATACTCACAGTCCAACGCACTGACGATGATAGGCTTTGCTATGAGTTATGGTGTGCTACAAGAGTACTACTTCGATCACTGGACCTTGGACGGTGCTCGTGAACTCACTGGAATCATCGGCACAACTTCGAATGGTGTCATGTACCTCTCTATGCTCGTCCTGTTCGCTCTCTTCACAAAGCGCTGGGCACGTTATCGCCAAAGCGCAGCCATGTGCGGAGCTCTTGTTGCGTGCGCAAGCTTCATTTTGTCGTCGCGGAGCCAACACGTGTGGCATCTCATTGCTACACAAGGGATCCTTGCTGCCTTAGGCTGCGCTCTTGTTTACAGCCCCCTGACGCTCACCCTCGGCGAGTGGTTTGCTCTCGATAATCGCATATGCAATCGCGCTGTTGCATTCGGCATCTGCCTCTCCAGCAAGAATGTAGTTGGATCCGTATGTCCCTTTATGTTCCGTGGACTGCTTGATAGATACGACTTCCGCACTGCTTTAGTCATATGGGCAGCTGTTATGGTCTCGACTGGCACTCTGTCCATCCTGATGATACAAACTCCGCAGGCAAGTCTGGTCTCAGGCACAACGCGCGGTCGAAAGATTCCGTGGCAGTTTCTTAAGCATCGAACCTTCTGGATCTACAGTATTGCTACGCTGCTCCAAAGCGCCGGTTATGGAATCCCGCAAACCTATTTGAGTGAATATGCTCGGAACGTCTCGGCGCTCTCGCCAACGTTCTCGACCCTCCTCATAACATTGATAAATATCCCTGGTATATGCTCTTCCACTTTTTTCGGCTTTTTGAGCGATAACAAGCACTTTCGCCTCTCTGCACCGACAGTAACAGCCGTTTCCGCCATTAGCTCAGCGCTAGCCGTATTCTTGTTCTGGGGCTTCGCAGAAAAAGGTAGCATCGCTTTGCTTGTCCTGTTCGCTATCACATTTGGCTTCTTTGCTAGCGCATATAGCGCTACATGGGGCGGCGTAATGAATGATATGGAGAACGATGCCGCGAGACGAAACGAGGCAGTGGACAGTGGCGTGCTTTATGGTCTGCTCAACGGTGCACGTGGGATTGGCTACGTCAGCGGTGGGCTCTTGAGTGTGCCGTTGATCAAAGCTGGTGGTGCACATCCAACAGGCCATTTCGGATATTCAACGACATACGGGCCTCTCATCATGTTCACTGGACTTTCCTTGGCGTTTGGTGGATGGGGTCTTGCTTTCACTCCGAAGTGGAAGAGTCTGCTCCATTTGCGTTAGTTCCTTTCGAGATCGGGCTTCATTCTTCAAAGTTCAAGGTAGTCGTAGACCTTCCGACGATAAACGACGGATGATTTAGTACACGTCACCAAGCCGCAAGTGAAAGGCCAAATTAAGCTCAAGGCACGTGAGCACGCGTGTCAATTCGTCGAAAGCGCGCTTAATCACGCGCCAGTGTAAATGGCATTGGGAAAATCGACCCGATCAATTTCTGTACCGTACAAATCTACCACACGGACTCTGTCTCTACCAGACCAGCAGTTTTTCAACTTGCAGTCACCGTATGCCCGCCGCGCATTCTGCAGAGAAAGCTGCTTAAATTACCATCTTGATTGCGAGAACTATAATTTCACTGGATTACTATTCATGTCAGCACGTAAAACTAAGCCGAGGTCGAAGAGTGGTCGGAGTGACAGGGAGCAAGGTTTAGCTACGCCACCGCCGACCTCTCCTGTCTTCGCAGCTTACAGCGAAGAAGAGCTACAAGGTAAGTCCATTTCGAGCTCAAACGCTCTCTAAGTACCTTACTTACGTATCATAGCCGCGGAAACACTCCTGAAGATCCTCTATGGTAGCCCTATCGCTCGGACGCTTGCACAAGAAGCGAGAGATGCGAATATCGACCACAATTCATCGTCCGCGGGCTTAAGCACTCATCCTGAATTACCTCAGGACAGTTGTGGGCATTTGACTTCATCTCCTCCACCGCTCGTTCGAGGAAGATCATCCTCTCCTACATCAGTAGACCATGTATCATCACGTCCGAAAAGTCCTTCTCCTGCCAATAGCCTCAAACCGGCTCTGGAGCCTATAAGGGAAACCTTTTATACATCACTGGGGTCACTGGAACCTTCGAGACGAGCTTCAAAACCGGCAACAGCTCCAGACCTCGAGCTTTTATACACCCCACTAGACCAGCTCCGAGATTCTCGCTCATCACCTTATACGCACGAAGTGCGATCCGTCGCGCAACTCAGACGCGACCCGTTTCCTCAAGGAATCTTCCCATCACATGCAGTGATCACCGACACCGACTCTAATGCACGTCAAGCCTTCATCGACGCAGACAGCTCCGACCTTAGCGGTGGCAACATCATTGCCGCAGTTCAGCGTGTAGGTCATCGATTCACACTTAACCGAGGGATATTTCCTTCCCAAGAAGTCATGTTCAACATCTGGCCAGGAGTTCGCCGTGACTTCCAAGAGGCTCAATCAAAATTTAGTGGCGGCCATGTCTTTGCCGCGCTGAGGGAGCGAGGCACGATTTTCGAGCACAATGAGAAAAAAGCTGATGTGGCAGCTTTGCGGCGACGAATTGAGCGGGAGAGCTCAAACAATGCGTGGTACAGAGCACGTCGGCGGGATACGAGGGATGAGAGTGAGGATGAAGAGTTAGATTGGGGTAGTGATGACGAAACTGATGAGTAGATGAACAGTTGGGGCTGATTAGAAGGCATGGATGGACGAAAAAGTGGATCGGTTACGAAAATTCTTTAAGTTCCATAACGTGATCGGTATCCATGTGATATCTTAAATCGCAGCACCCTCCTCCTTTTTGGTGTATCTTACGCATGCGCTCTTCCAACTATTCTTTCTATTTTCAATGTCTATGACACTCCTCGATGGAAGTATCTTCGCTCAACTCAAAACGTGCGTGCGCTCCACAGTACGTGATGAAACATCGCAGATGGGCGCCATGAGAGCTCACAGTTCTAGTACAAAGAGTCCTTTGTGAGCCACCAAGAAATTGATGGATTTTAATGAGCCTTAAGGTGGCAGTGAGTGGACATCGCTCATTGTAAAGTATCTGCAGCAATGACTAGGGATGAAATACACCCCAAAGACTCCTCCTCCTCCTCCTCCATACGATGTCCAGACACTCCTACATATGACCTCCGGATTTGAAAACGTTCCGATCCTATAAAGATGTTCACAATGTGTAAGTTGAATAGCCCAATCACTTTTCAGAGCTCATGACAGGTCATACAGACTTTCTCAAGCTCGGGTTTGACATGCATAGTCATGAGGACCAAGCAGATATGTCTTCATAGTAATTTTGATTTTCTTGTGCTTGTGTGGGTAGGAGCGGAAGGAGGAGGTGGAGATGACGTGGAATAGCGCGGCGGTGATGTTTGAACGTGTAGATGATCTCTACGAGACGACTTAGAAAAGTACGATATGATGTCTAAACACAACGTCTCTCTATCCACCAAGCGACCATGCAAGCATGGTCGCTTGGTGGACGATACTATGGGAAGTAAAGAACTAGCCCGTGAAAATTCTCCTCAAGAATAAAAGCCCTCAATCCAAGGTAATAACTTGTGTTTGGGATATCATCCGGCAGACCGATATACATACCGTATGGCACAGTGACAGAGTTTTTCAAGGCGTAGAAAATTGAGCCACTGTCGCCTGAAGCGGTGAATGTATGACTACATTTTAGCTAATGCACCAGACCAACCCAAGGTTGTGTCTGACCATTCTTTAACTCTTCAAAGTTCGGCTCAATCTCATGCTGGATCGACTATACAGACGAGCTCCGAAAGGCAGTCAGCTGGAACATTCTGATTGTATGTGCGGAAACCGTGTCCCGGAGTACTCAAAGATGGTGATAGTCCACTCACGGAATACAGTTCGCCCCCGGATATCCCCGCGCGGAACGCATCTACGAGACCGTGCTAGAATTCATGATGTTAGTCTTGAAAATGCACGGTTATGGGTCTTTCATTTTCACGAGCACGGGAGCGTTCTTGCGTCATCACGCACGGGAGCGCAACTGCGGCCTTTTTCGGATTGGGTTGATTTGAGCTTCATCAAACTGGCGGGCCAGTTCGAGCCGATAGTCATTGAGCGGGCCATTGGGGTTGGCAGATGGACGCCGAGTCAATTTTACCAGAACCAATGTCCGACGCAGCAACGGGGAGGGAATTATCGATTTAATACTAGGAACAGTAAAAAACAACGCGATGCGCCTTTGGTGGTGTGGTCACGCAGAAAGTAGATCGTCCGTCAATTCATTTCCAGTTCCTAGCCCTCCATTTCACTCCTCACCAGTATTGTATATACACACGCGCGCCCACGAAAACCATCGTCCCACCCTAACTCACCTTCAAGGTCGCAAAATGAACAATGTCGCGTGCTGTGTTGCGCAGCCGACGGAGCTGTGTCATGACAACGTGGATGGTTGCACACGGAATGCACGGCATGCACGCACTACGCCAGCCACTTCCCCATGTAGACAGGGTATATATTTCTCGAGACAATTTTCCTGACAAGACTCATTCACACATTACGATTTACGAAGAAAACAGAACGTTCACGAATTTACGACTTCGCAAGTCTTCACTACAAACTCACTCACAAACAAGTTTGTAACATTACGCTGTCTACCTTTCAAAGATCCTCTACAACGCAGAGCATGTACACATTCAGTATGAACATGTTCTCGACCATTACTCTTTCGCTCGTGCTCTTCGCAAGCTCGGCACTTGCCCTTCCGCTCTCTGTCCCAGAGCCAAGCATCGTCACCAAGATGGCGATATCAATCGGGGTGCCATTTGACATGGAAACATCAAAATCTAGCCCAGCCGCACATATAGTGGCTCGATCTGCTGAGTGGGCGGTTCCCTCACCCGCAGCGCCAGCCTGGACTGCAGACCCGTCCGTTTGGACTCCGTCTCCACCAGCATGGACCGATGCACCGCAGCAGACTTGGGCAGCTATACCAATTCCATCCTGGGCGCCGACTCAAGCTTCCCCTACGCCCACGCCCAACCCCTCCTACACCTGGGCCGAAACGCACGACGACAGCAAAACCACCCTAACCAACGGCATCATCTGCGGCATCGTGTTCGGCGGATTCTTCGCCCTCGTCATCCTTGTATTCGCCATCTTTACCACGTATCATCGAGCTATCAAGCCGTGGTATAGGGGTAGGCGCGGCAAGGGGGATATCGAGGCGGCGAAGGCTGTGAGCATTGCGTCGACGGATGCGGGCGGGGTGCAGATGACGGAGGTGCCTGAGCGCATTCATGTGCGGAGTACGGAGGATGGCGGGTTTCGCGTTGTGCACACTTCAGGAGGGATTTCTAGGGGTTGATCGGTGATGGTGATCGTGGGGAGGAGGAGACGGCAGGTGTTGGTGTTGTTGTATCAAGTTGTTGAAGTAGTATACTGTATAGAATCTGAATTCATGGTCACGTTTCTCAAGCCTTCAAACCATGTTTTTCACGTTCAGCAAATGTATGTGAAAAGTGATGTTGTTCAATTGGAACTCAGCCCAGGGTATATCTTTGCATGCATCGCCCAAACTCCATTTTAATCCAAGTCATTCATGCAATCGCCTCATATAATCTCGTGTCCACGCACGTTTGCAGTGTATTCAGCACACTGTGACTCGTTCTCACAACTCCGGCTTCGGCTTGTCTTCCTTGGCGTCCTCCTTCTCCACGACTACAAAGTCATCATCCGTGTCTTCTGTCTTCTGCTTCTTGGTCGAGGGCTCTTCGATGTCCGTTATGTCCTTGGGGTCTTCGGTCGGCGCATCGGGGAGTTGTGACAGTATCTCGCTCGGCTCCGTGGAAGTTTCGACTGGCGCATCAGGCTCGTCCTGTCCGGCGGTGTCCTCGACAGACTGCACCATCGGGAAGTATTTCCTAAGACCGCTTGTTAGTGACATGCCTGATCCATATGATCTTCGGACCTACTGGATCTCCCTGTAGTAAGCATTCTCATCCTTTTCCAAAAAATTGCAGAAGATGACGCGATCCAGCTTCTCCGCCTTGCCATCCTCGTCCAGGAACTGGCGCACAGTCTGCAGCGCAACCACGGCCGCCTCGTCACTCGGATATCCGTACACGCCCGTGCTCAACGCGGAGAAAGCGATGCTCCGGCACTCGTTGTCGACAGCCAATTGCAGGCTGGTCCTGTAGCACATGGAGAGAAGTTTCGCCGACGCCGACCGTCCTTCCTTCCAGTAAATAGGGCCAACAGCGTGAATGACCTTTTTGCTGGGCAGTTCGTAGCCTCTGGTCATCTTGGCGTTTCCCGTCTCACACCCGTCGAGGGTCTCGCATTCGTCGTAGAGCTTGGGACCAGCGGCGCGGTGAATTGCGCCATCGACCCCGCCGCCGCCAAGCAGCGATGTGTTTGCAGCATTGACAATGGCGTCGATGGCGAGGGTCGTGATGTCTCTTCGGATGATGCTGATCTTGTCGTTGAGTGTTGCGGAGGGAGTATAGGAAGACGATACGTCATTGTCGGGCACGATAGTCCTGTCCTGGTACAGCTTTGTGAGCGTCGGGATGTCGTCGAGAGTGACAGGCGCCATTTTCTGTGGTGGGGTGGGTTTCCGAGCGGTTGAGATTGGTTTGGCGAGATAGTAGGCGCTGGACATTTGGACTGAAGAGGCGAGAGGTTTTTCTTTGGGTGCGAGCGACGAGCATAAGAAAGTCGTCGAGCTGTCGGAACCGCAGCCTTAGGAACGGCCCGCGGCTGGCGGGGTGGAGCTCGGGCCAGTTTACGTAAGCCCGCTAGTGCCCGTCACGGAGTAGTCTTTCCCCACTCTTCAACCTCGGGTTCCCCTTCACTCTTACCCCTGCAGTGCATACATATCCATGAAACCAGACATTTGTATTCTTCCAATAACATAAATCTCCCTAAATCGCGCGACCTTGGTCCGTGCGTTTGTCAAATCACCATGTTTACTCCAACGATTCACTACCTAGGCATGTGACGATACCGAATGCCGCGCCATCCGCATCATAGAATGTGGCCATGTCCTCTGCTTTGCATGCTTTGGAGAATGGGTAAAATGTCATCCGGACACCTGCCCTTTCTGGAACCACAAGCTCAAGCAACCCGGGACCCCATCATATCTTGAGCGCACATGCAGCTCGTCGTGGTTCAAGTGCAATGAGTACTTTGTCTTAGTTCTCTAGGAAGATGATATATTGGCTACCAAATTACAAATACTACACGAAGATCAGTTGACCTTTAGTGGTGCAATTACGAATTTAGGAAAGTACTTCCTCATAGCAGCAGTGCGCAACATCCTTGCCGCTATTACCTTCACTCTTCTACATGTCGCAATTGCGGCCACTGTTCAGGCCGTCGGAAGCCTGGAAGGCCTTTGGACGATCCTCACAACTGGTGTGATCCCCGCTGTGGAATTTGTGGATCTTCTCGCACGCGTTTGTGCAAACGAACTACTCGTGGTTGCATTGGCTAAGGCTGCAATATGGGAAGCTGTTGGTCTCACTTCCGTCGTGTGCTGTGCTCTTGTCGCGTCACTTCGGGAGCAAAGCCAGGATTGCGTAGTATCCGTAATCCTCGACTGCCTCTGTGACCTTTCATCTTATATCTTATAGTCACTCCACAACAATGTTCTCATACTCTCAGTCAATCGGATACTACTTTGTTCATTTACCTGGCTTCCTCTTTTCAGTCCAAATGCTAAATAAATAAATACATCTCATGTGTCCCACGATACTACCTCTTTCTACCTCTCGTTCTCGCGCCACACATTTTTTCCACAAGATTTGTAACCGGTTCATGATTCGAGATATAAAAGATCAATACGCTTTCCACGAGACTGGCTTGACCACATTACTGCACATTCCAATTCGTAACTTGCGAAGTATTGTCGCCTTAGTCCCACCTTCATTGCTGCTCCCAGCAAGTGCAAGTTCAGGAGCTCAGCGGTTCGACCCTAGTAATAGCATTTCTCGCGTTCGCGCCAAATCATGATGCACAACTCCAAGACTGCGGCGCATAACTCCTATTTCAAGTAGCGTCAGGTTCAGAATGAAGTGCTCGCGAGCGAAACGACAGCGGCACAAGACCTCCGCCTACTCAGCGCACGATCATCGAGCTGCAAACGTGAATTCTAGAGTAATTTGCGACCGAGGAGGTTCTGCTAGTGAACTTGATGAGTTAGTGCATGGGGCGATGGGTTGGTCTGTCTAACTTCGAGAAACTCATTATAGTCTGCTCGCCTTCTGGAATAATGCCTCTGATATTTCAAGTATGTATACCATATACCCTAGCATTGCGCCCAGTGCTGACTGGATTCAGCTCACTCTCTGGACCGACCAGTGGAAGCTTCCGCATGAACGACCCTGCCGCCGGTCATCCGTTCGATCAAGATGTGCGTGGAGGCCATGGGGATGTCAGGTCGCAGCCTTTGAGGAAGCATCTGAGGCGACGGAGGTGAAGGTCACGAAGCGGGCGAAGACTGGTGCGAACGCGCATTAGGACACGGCGCTGGATCAGTCGATACGGACCGAGCACGTCGACGGTAGCCCCTCTTGACATATAACGCGAATATCGGCCAAGCACATGGCGTTATATTTTGGCGGACCAGGATGTATTCGAGACAGAAAAGTTCACGCACACGTTGGCAAGGCCTGCGTGCGCCCTGCGCACTCACGGCAAACGTCTTGACAAAGTTTGAAAAAGATGGATTCGACATCTAGAGTCTCTTATGGTGGTTATCGAATGCAAGCACGGTACCTTTATCTCTCACTTTACTTGGATAACAATAATGATCATGCAGACATCTAGTGCTGCGCGTCGAAACTGCGGAAATCCTCAATATGGCTACTTGCTATACAAATGTGCCATGCCCTTCCCGCGCCCAAAGCCCGACTCCACCTCCTCATCCGATACCTTGCTGAACTCGCCTTTCGCAACTTCAGCTCACTCTCCAGAGCGAATACGCCCGGCTTTTAGTTTAATTGTGGCGTCGTACGTACTTTGGCGCTCAGCAGACAGCGCATCCCCAGATAATGTATATTCCTCTTCTGCAATCGAAAGATGTATCGAAGCCGGGAGATCTAGGGATATTCGGGGCGTGTCTCTGGGCATCGAACCAAGACAAGAAACAGGCTTGGTTGGGCCCGGCAGGCCGTGAGCCATTGCGACGCGCGAGATGATGTCGATAGCCACGTGTGTGGGCCGCTTGTTTGGTGCAATGAACAGTTCGCCGTATTGCTCGTACTCGCCCTGAGTTGATTTTGCATCCGTGGAAATTCGCTGCATCTCGATGTCTGTGTGCATTGGAGCTGGTCTGCGGCGAGAGAATGTGAAAGGTAAGTTGCGTCTGAATACTAGGGCGTTGATGATGACTAGGCTGATAACTACACCGGAGATGGATGCGATGATGATGCCGGTCTGCCTAGTTGCCAAGCCCATGGTGCTAGTAATCAAAGTATGAAGTGTGGTTGGAATGACAACAGACTTGCTGAGAGATCCGGTCTCTTTGCGCTTGCTGATGTTTGCGGGAAATGCTTGACCGGATTGAAGCATATATATGTCTCACACATCGACCTTGTGAGCAACATAGATTTGTGTAGCAGTTTCCCCATGCGCATTGTGAGGCCTATGTCTTCTAGTTTTGTTTCACTTTCCTTGAACTTGTGATTCCGTGCAAACGTCTCACAATGTGATTATGAAAGGACGGCCCTGAGAGCGTCTTTGCCAGGTTTCATCATCACGAGAAGCTTGTATGTTCCTCCATGCGTTCTTTGAGCCTAAGGAAGGCCATGGCGTCCAGAGAGCGGGTTTCCGATGGACCACGATAGATCAGCCATGCAAGGATAGCCAGGCACAATAATTCCAAAGTCAAGATAGTGGTCATACCGATCACAACCGAAAGCGATAATTGAGGCTTTCGTATCGTGGTTGCATACCCAGAGTAAATCGATCGTCCGTAATCTTCCCGTGCATCACTCCCGATACTATAGCGTGAGAGTAACTGATCCATTGTCACAACGGCCTGATTGGCTAGAAACACCGCTGATGACAATGCTGTCACAGCTGTCTTTGTATCATTAAACCCGTGCAACCATTTGGAAAGAAATTGTCGAGCGTCCAATAATTCGGGCTGAGTTTGAATACCAAAATCGCATCCTGGGGACTTGGAGTCTGACCATGTCACGATGGAAGTGGAAGTGAACGGTATCGGTTCCAAGCGGGCAAAAGGTACGAGGTTGCACAGGCGCTCCCCAGGCAGGATCTTGCTATTCTCATCGAGAGAAGCATTCCAAGTTTGTACGGCAATTTCGAAAAATGTGTTGTTGCCAAACAAAGCGATGGTGGTCATAGTCAGAGGGCCGGGAACATAATCATAGCCTTCATTGATTTGCGGCGGGTCGGCACTGTGAAACGGTTAGCTCGCCAAATGTAAATTAGGTAAACGGACGTATTAAAATTCTGAAGGATACCTTGGCGCCCATGAGCGGGGGCTTTTGGGATCTGAAAAGTCGAGGTAGTCGTTATAATCCGTTGCCATATCTTCTGGGCTAGGCCATTTCTCTAACAAAGCACTCCAAGTACTATTGTTGCGATAGTTCCCCAGTTCGAAATAACCCCTAGTTGTGGACGCTGTGCAACGAAGGGTGTAATTGCTGGTCAGATTCCGGTGATCTACAAGGCGCGGTCACCAATCTCCAACTGCTCTAGGATGTCAATGTAGAGCCCTTCTACTATATCTTGCCTGCTCCGTGACATGGTCCACGGTGATAATCCACGCGATCTAGGTGTACAGATGCGAGTCATATTATTGCCATGGGAAAATGCTCTTGTGAATGGGCGCTCTCCTGGACACGGTGATGGAAATGCGGCGCGTTGAATGCGTTGGCACTCCACTGAAGAGTTGAGACGCATAATGTGTTGTCGCAACACTCCAGTTGAAGTTCCTTGTTCAAGCGCCGCTACAAAAGCGCCGCTTTCATGATCTCGAAGCAACAATTTGTTCGCAGCGGAGTCGGACGCATTGTTCCACAAATTTGGTTTAACGTCATCCAGCGACGCGACCGCAAGTTCGCCAACCAATTGCGGAAAGATTTCGTATTGGTACGTCAGAGCCATCTGCGTCGGTTCCATATCCCAACCAATCTCCTTTGCTGGCAGAACCTTTCGAGAGCACTCAGATTGTAGCAAGAAACGCTGGTATATCAGATATCCCATGTAGCCGGTGTCGTGACAGGTGGGAACGAGGATGTTTTCCATGGGCACCAGAATTTGATACAGAGGCTGCTGTATGGATCCTATAAGCGGATTTAGTGAGTTTACGAAGCATCTTGAGGTACCTTCTACTAACCTATGATGATCGTAAGCGCAGCAAAGAACAATAAATTTCGAGCGCCATTAGACATGCCACCTGGCCACTTCCAAGACTTGAACAAAGTGAAAGCATCGGTCCAGCCGCGATCCGCAAACGCAACAAGGTATTGAAGGCGATAATCTGAGTCCTTGTGGTGCTGATGGCTGTAGACTACTGCGACCTGAGCTATCAGAGTAGACAAGACCGGGATGGTGATAAGGCTACCAATCGAGTTCAAGACATTTACACTAATTGCCCATTTTTCGATGCGATCAATGTCCAGGTCCGAGAGACCGTGTTGATTGTAGTAGGAGGAGGCGCTCAGTGGTCGTTTAGCCATTACGCAAGTCAAAGCCCACGGTATGATAATCAAAGGAATGTAGAAGATGAGAAGAAACATGGCGAGCTTGTGATATTTCAGTTCAGACATCTTGACATCCTGAGTGTAATGCAATGGTTCAAGTTTGACCTCTTCGCCGGCGTGCTCAGAGCTTTTGATCGATCGCGTCGCGGAGTCATGGGAGATCCGGGAGGGACATGGCAAGATGGTAAGGTCTGACATGGTAAAGTTATCGGCACGTAGACTCCAGAGTTAAGTTAACCAGGAGTTGAATGTTCTTATACAGCAGGTGTGTAAATGGCCCCGCCAAGTGGCTGAAACATCACAGCCTCGTTTACGGTCACACATGGCTGAGCTATTTAGGGCCATTTCACTTGCAGCCAGTTAGGCAGACGCCAGATGTTCACCAACCAATTCTCTCTGTAGAAGATTTCGGCGAGGTGCGCTCAGCCTCCTCAGGCCCTCGATCGCACCACGACACAAGCGCTGTAAGCTACAGGTTGATGTCCAGGCAATCGAGATGTTCACCTGCGGCCCTGTGTGCCTCTAGTCTGACCGATCCTACCGTGGCGATAAATTGTGCATCAACTCCCATATTCGCTCTAAAGTTCTTTAGCTGTCCCTACCTCATCGCTATCGCAATGTTCGACATTATATATGTAGCTGAAAATGCGTCAGTATCAGCAGACTATGCAGCGTTGTGAAGGGAAGATGAGGCACGAGAGAGTGAAAATTATTAGTCTGCACGGAGCTTTTGTCCCGCGCCAATGACGTCAATTTTGCCTCACGTCATTCGCTCCACAAGCTGAACACCAGTTTAAAGCTCGACTAAAGTATTACAATTAATCTTTTTAGATTCTACTTTTACAATTCATTTGGCCATCACGTGGCTAGCTTGGGAGAGGAAGATAAAGCCTGAGACGAAGCAGTTGAATGGTGGAGAGGGGTTAGAATGATACCTAACAACTAGATAGCTAGACATTTTCCAGGGTTACCGAGGCCTGCTTGACAAAACCCTGCCAAAACAATCCATGATGCTACCACTAGGCCATCTTAAGCGTAGCCTAGAACCATGCGCGAAACAAATAGGAGTAAGAATATTGGAATTGGCTGCAGTTGTGTTTATACTGCGAGTCGTAACATGTCATGATACCAGGATATGAGCTGTATGCAAATCCACATACATCGGGCAAGAAAAAAATCCCCAAAGGGCCGGCCAAGGTGAGTCCACAGACGACAAATCTTTGTTTGATGTAGCGCATGGTAAAAAGGTGCCGATGTTCTACTTTCTCGGCTGGTGACTTCTGAATTATCTTGCCGACTTTCTGAATTACCTTGCCGAATACCCACTCCGCTCGCTACAGTCGCATGACTTGCAAATGTGCAACTCGAAATTTTCATGACTAGCAGGCCTCTTAGCTGCAATATGATGGATGAGTGGGCAACTTGAGGCGATTCCAGTCCGACCAGTACTGAGAGGCCTTGATTCCGAGGTGCGGAGGGAACACTTGATCGGGTCTCGGGAGAGAACGCCCGTGAATGCTGTGACCGTGCCGAGCTTTTAGTGATATATGGGGCCTTGGTACCTTTATATTCTTCAGCATTGTAGATGGTTTCCTCAAGGCGCGGTGGCGTCAATTCGTGGGCCCGAAACTCATTTGTTGAGAGAAATTGAGGGCAATTGATACTCCTTCCGATGTTTGAAACTCAGCCGCAAGGTTTGACCTTTCGCCAAACTGCGTACACCCGCAATGTCCATGAAGGTTGCCCGTTGCATCAGTCAAAATTGGCCGATGTGACAATATAGGTGCCAACGTAGCGATGACATACCTCGCTGCAGAACAGCCTATCAAACGTTTCGGGTGCGATTATTCACTGATAAGATCACATGTGATACAAGAAATTGACGCAAGACAGACGCAGCCTTTGCCGAAGCCGTTGTTTGTGGTCTAATTAGGCGCGGATGCTGCCGCAAGGGTCTATCACGGTGGGGTGAAAACGTGGGGCGCCGAAGCGGCATCTCCATCGGCATCATCCCAATCCTTCGATATCGTACGTGCATTTCGTATTCGGGCCTACCCAGATCTACGATTCGATCTGCGTGGTAATCGTGAAACTCTTGTATCACTGATGGCGTTGCCGCTTGTGTTGTGGCAGGCACATCAATCAATCCTAGCACCCCTGATGGGGCGGTATGAGCTGCATCCTGGTGCAGCGATACGGACTTAGCGAAGAGGGGGTTGCAGATCTTGACAGGCGCACTTAGACAATTGTGCATCGAGTGAACTATACAATCGGCCATATAGCCAACATGAAAGTGAATGCATCGGAGACGACAACACCACCTCGTAATCAGCGCTTCGAGAACACCTTCACCTTGAATCACATCTTTGGGAACACCTTCACTTTGCAATCAGCGCCTCTCTCACCTCGCGATCAGCGCTACAAGAATCGCTCCACGCCGCAATCGGCGCTTCGAGGCGTACTTAAACTCGGAAGTTCCTCTGTAAAACCTCAACACAAACTCCAACCAAATCTTCAAAATGGTATCAGGACATCTAGGAAACGTCACCAAAGCGCCCGAGTTCGAGACCCTCGCTCTTCATGGCGCCCAAGAACCCGATCCCATCAACGGATCCCGTGCTGTCCCTCTCTACCAGACATGCGCCTACAACTTCGAAGACGCCGCTGACGGCGCTTCCAAGTTTGCGTGGTCCAAGGAAGGCTTCGTCTACACCCGCATGGGCAATCCCACTAACTCCGTCTTCGAGCAGCGCATGGCCATGCTCGAAGGCGGCGTCGGCGCGGTCGCAGCAGCTTCAGGCCACGCAGCACAGTTCATGGCGATTACGTCCATTTGCGAGCCTGGACACAACTTTGTCTCGACGATGAATCTCTACGGCGGCACGTTCAACCAGTTCCGCGTGTATTTCAAGAAGTTCAACATTCAGTGCAAGTTTGTCGAGGGGCATGATGCGCAGGAGATCAAGAAGGCGATCGATGAGAACACGAGAGCGGTGTACATCGAGACGATTGGCAATCCACAGTTTAACGTGCCGAATATCGCGGCGATTGCGGATGTATGCCATGAAGCTGGCGTGCCACTGATCGTCGATAATACGTTCGGTATGGGTGGGTATCTGTGCCAGCCCATCAAGCTAGGCGCAGACATCGTGACACACTCCTGCACCAAATGGATTGGTGGCCACGGTACATCTATGGGCGGCATAGTCATCGACGGCGGACACTTCGACTGGTCAGCTAGCGGGAAGTTTCCTTGCATGTAAGTCCACTCACTCCCTTCCACACTCCCCTTCCTCATGCTAACACACCATCTCAGGACCGAACCAGCAGATGGCTACCACGGCATGCGTTTCTGGGAAACATACGGCCTCAAATCGCTCTCCGCAAAAGTCCGCATGGACGCCATGCGCGACCTCGGCCCCTGCATGGCCCCCTTCAACGCCTGGCTCTTCATCCAAGGTCTAGAGACCCTCGCACTGCGCGCAGACCGACACGTGTCCAACACGCTTGCCCTCGCCCACTGGCTGCAGAAATCGCCGTATGTCAGCTGGGTCAACTATCCCGGTCTCGAATCTCACACCGACTACGCCCTCGCGCAAAAGGTCCTGCCGAGAGGCCAAGGAGGCGTACTCACCTTCGGGGTCGCAGGCAACATCGCCGAAGTCGCCGCCGTCGTTGACAACCTCAAGCTCTGCTCCCATCTCGCGAATGTCGGAGATGCGAAGACACTGATCATTCACCCGTGGCGCACGACGCACCAGCAGATTCCCGACGAGGAGAAGATCAAGGGTGGTGTGACGCCGGATCTGATTCGTGTTAGTTTGGGCTTGGAGCATATCTCGGACATCATACATGATTTCGAACAGGCGTTTGATGGTGCGGGCTTGAAGCCTGCGGAGGGGTGGACGCCGACGTGGAGGCAGGGGTTGAGCAAGGATGCGAGTGATGGGACGTTGTATGCGCCGAAGCCGGGCAGGTGAAGATGAACGTGGAGACTGATGGGGCGAAGGACACGGCGGCTATGGAAATGGCTGCAAGCGTGTAGAGAGCACTTGGGTGTAGTCTTGCTTTTGCTTGCGTGGATGGTGCTTTTTTACTTGTCTAGGAACTAAGACCAAGCTTTGAAATTCGAGAGTCCACCATGTCCTCATGCACCTCACTCCACATCTCTTACTTCTCCTTCACCTCTTTCCGCCCTCGGTATAGGCGGTCCTTCGTACCTCGCTACCATCCTACTCGGCACTGGCATTCCCATCCCACCAATTCTCTCTCGACCCTCACCCCTATCCCTAAGGCGCCTCTCAATATCAGCCTGCCGCTTCGCCTGCAAAATGCGCTTATTCCGCCTGCGCACAACACGCACGATTCCAAATACGATAGCGAAACACAAGACGATGGGGATGGTTGAAATGAGTATTATGATGGCAGTTTGGGATAAGCCGGCATGGCTGGAGGCGGGCAGGGGAGTCTGGTCTTCGAAGATGGAAGATCCGGTGTATGGGGCTGGCAATACCGATGTTTGAGATGGGTAATGGATGACAGACATGATGAGGAGCAAAAGACGAGGTAGTGCGTGGTCGCAATTTTGCGTTCGTGTATTCATAAATTCGTGTTCATAGCTATGTACTTTTGCCCCAACTCCATGCAACAAGCAAACAAAGAACTTTTTGGAAACAACAAGGCGGCAAATGACTTTTGGATGGAGTGTAAGAGGCAAGACAAGGGACGCAATGTAAATCCCGCTTCCGCGAACAAAGGAATATGAAGGTTTTCGGCATCACCGAGATGGAGAAACAAGGTTTCGGCTACACCTACACCATTCGTCTCGGTGATGAAGCGTGTCGCGGCAGCGTGTCTACGCTCTGTTCGTGCGCAAGCGTGGGGGATGGCATCATGCCAACGTGGCGGCCAGAAAGTGATGTGGCAACCAAGCAAGGGCGAGAACGAGAGGTATTTTGTCGGGCAATTTGTGGAGGGTTCGTACAGGGTCGAGGATGCTGCTCTATGATTTCAGGTCCGAGATCACCGGGCTCCATTGTGCCTTGTAATGAGGATGCATCTCGCTTGATGTTTTCGAGCATGGACTTGATGGTGAAGAACGATATAGGGGTCCCAAATGTGCATACGATGACAGGCAGCAAAGTGTAGTTGTCCATGATAAGGTGTCTAGCGAGCAGCGTAGGAATGCGTCAAGCACAGTATTGGCCCGAGTACTGAAGAGCGAATGCTGGAGGATAAAATCGTGGGCGGTGATATGGCGGAGAGACACAAATCCGGGGTGTATGTGTATCTCCCGCAATGAGACATTTTCGTGGCCGAACGACTCTTGAGAGACAAGCTACAATCGCATGTGAGCGGTGGTCTCACATGGCTAGGGGAAGTCCAAGGGCTACAAGTCGGTCCTCCTTCTGAGGGCATGTTTCGGCAGATAGTTGCATCTTCTGACTTTCGATTGAAAGGTCGGAAGTGCGATCCCTGGTGCTGTGGCGTTCCTGGGTATACGGAGTCTCCAGCAGTCCGAATGATCGTCGAGGGAGGTCACCTCTTCAGCTAATCATCACAACTATGTTCACTCTCCTGCGGTCTTGTCTGCCATCATCAAGCCCGAGCTCGAGCTGCTGCTTCCACTCTTTCTCCTCCTATGGTTCTTGGATGGCTCTGTCGCATCGCTTGCCCGCCGCGAGCTCGTTATCGGCTGTGCAGGGAAGTATTCGCCTTCGTCACCGAGGGCGAAACGTACGGGCGTCTTGACCCTGTGATGCGCGAGGTTTATTCGTGAGGCTTCGGGGCTCCACCCCCGATACTGCATCGGGCTGGTTTCGCCAGACTGGCTGCGATGATGTCGCCGAGCCGGAGATTCTCCTGGGAGCTGCAGCCGCGAGTTCATGCCCATCCACAACGCCTCCTCGTCGTCGTTGCCTGGAGTACGCCAGCCTCCGACGCCTTCATAGTCTCTGGGGACGTCGCTTGTGTTGGTGGTCTGGAGCATGCCGTTACTAATGTCGAGACGCCCAGGTTTGACGGCAGGCACGACTATGTTTTGAGAAGGGATAGAGATGCCAAGGCTGCTGTATAGTTGTCTATGACGGGTCACCGCTAGTGGTGCAGGCGTTGAAGCGGTTGGTGAATGCTGTACAGGCAGAGGCAGCTTCTTGGGAGGTTCTGGACTGAGCCAAGCGCCTACGATGGCGACTACGAGTTCGATGTATACGACGAAGACGCGGCAGAAGAGCAGGAAGAATGCGATGGTGGTCGTGATGGTCGCGAAGATGGCGAGTGGAATGGATATCGACAGGAGGATCAAGGGCGCGAATGCGTAAACCGGATTCCAGACATTTACTTCGATGGTATACGACCTCCATCCGATAGTGATCATAATGGTGGCTGACGTTGGACGAGATGACGATGTGGATGTCGAGGAACTACGGCATGTGAAAGATTGCGGGGACGCCAAGGTCGGTGGTCCGACGCCTCAGATGATGTCAACAAGGGCGTTTTGGCCTTTCCCGAAACTCGTCAAACACTTCTTCAACGAATCTGACGTATTTCGCTGCGTCGCGTGTCGTTCGCGCTGGTGTTCACGACTTTGCGCAGACCGCCGATCTGTGCGCAAAATCTTCGTCTCTCAGTTTGTCCGGAATCGTCGCGCACCTGAGCGCGTCGGCGTCATGCCAATACCGAACAGGATTGCGCCGAGCGAAGTGCCCTTGAAGATGCTCTCGTACTGTTCAGTCTTGAGTCGCGAGCTGTACGGCTGCTTTGAGATCTTGAGAAAGGTAGCGCCCGTGACGAGCATCCAAGCGCCGAACAAAAGTTCGTATCTGTACTTGGAGGCGATGTGCTCGTTTGCTTGATCTGTCATTTTCGTGGATGATTGCGAGTGGAGCGCAAAAGTGTGGAAACCTGGAAATGAGATGCACGTCGACTTTTGTAGTCGGCGATGTTTGTGGGAAGAAGGCGGTCGAGGGTCGAGACGCAGGATTGATAGGATTGATATGCGAGCCGCGAGGGCTGGGATGACATGGGTAGTCGTGATGTCACCCCACCCTATCATCACCACACCACTTCACACCATCGACGTAAGAGCTTCGGATCGTCGCAGCCACCTTCTCATCGTAGCTAATGATTAGCGCTGACAGTCTGCTCGATGATACTGGCAGCGAAACTTCGACCCGCGCGTTGGACATTGAGGAGTTCAACACCCAGTGTTGACCGCCTTCTCAGTTCTCTTCATCGAGCCGCCTGACAACTTCGCCTCACTTTAGATAGCGTGTGGCCATATCACGTGCATTTCTTTGCTTTACCGCCATCTGCGTGCTTCTAACAACTTTTCAGACTTCAGTCACTGTTTACTTCATTTCTTTGTTGTCGTTTTCCTACCTTGCGTTGTCGCTACACGTCGCGCGCATTTCAATCATTGTCACTTCACAACCTCCGCAGCACAATTCCAATGCACCACTATTTACGGCAGCAACATAATGTTCCTCCCTCCCAAAAATCAGAGTCAAGCGTTTGCACATTGAGGACACAAGTGAAACATACATGACCCACGCAACATCTACACCATAAAGTATTGCTCAAACGATTCAACTCACCATGTCTCCCAGCAGATCAACCATCCTCAGCATTGTACTACCTGTTGCCACAGTACTTCTCACGATCGCAATTGCCACGGCAATCCTCATCCACCGCTACCTTCGCCAACGCACCCTCCTCCCCACAACAGAACCCCCGCTCTTCACCGCCGCGCACATCGCCTCGATCCGCGCACCACGCTCCAGTGTTCCTACCACTCCCACTGAAAACCCCTGGCCCACACTCAAGTCCGACCCCAATCACATTCCGTTCCTCGCCGCACCCCTGCCTTCCCATCAGCCTATCAAGGGTAATTGGCAGAAGTTCAAGGAGAAGCAGGCACTGCGCAAGGAGCAGGCCAGGATGCCTCAGGTTATGCGTGAGAAGTGGCATCATCAACCCAAGGGGTCTGCATATTGGCGGGAGCATGGAAAGAGTATGCGGGCGGAGACGGGATGGTGGGAGAAGGCGAAGGAGAAGGTGGGTTGGTAGATGTGAGAGGAGTAGAAGGTTGGAGTGGGTGAGTATGATTGTAGTTTGAAGATGCTGAGGAATTGCATTCTCGGCATCTAGTCAGTATGTGCATGACCCAATGTGACAATTCGTTTTGATCGCTGATAAGAATCCCGCTGTCAGTGTGGCGCGTGAAGGTCATACGCCAGTTTTTCTAAATTAATTCACAATACACAAGTCCTGTATGTCCAAGCAAAAAGTAAATGACAGTTACATTTTACCTACCCATCGGCAACTGATAACCCACCCATTCCGTATCCGCCTCCCTCCACTTCTCCACATCCCCAATAAATACCTGCTCATCAGCCTCCCATATCCCCTCCTGCACTATATCCACCCATTTCCACAGCACATACCGCAGCTGCGCATCATGCCTCGCAACAAAGTAATTAAACCCTAACTGTCACAATTCCGAACTACTCGGCTCGATATCAGCAGCAGCGTCTTCTCCTTTGCTGCGCACATCCTCACCAATCAGCGCGCCATCACTAGTCCGCGCAAATGCATTGGAACCGAGTATGAATGGTAGAATGAGTGTACACAGCTCTTCGAAGGGGTGGGCGCCGTGTGGGTCGGTTTCGGTGAGGTAGAGACCGGCTGGGTATGTCATGATGCCGTCGAAGTCGCGGGAAAAGGGGGAGATGCGGAAATGTTCGCCCCATGGGGTGCGGCGGTATTCTTGGTGGCCAGGGGAGGTGCTTGAGAAGATGAGGAGTGGGACGAGGGTGTTGGGCGATGTTTGTTCGGATGTTGGGGCGATGCGTAGGCCTGGGGCGATGTACATCCAGGCGGGTCTGGAGCAGCGGGCAAGAAAGCGATAGGTCAAGGTGTTCGCCGATAGGGTTATTGGATGACTACCAGTGACGAGTTCAAGCAGGCCTTGTTCTGCGGTCTGTGGTTGAAATGGCATTTTCTGGTGGATCGCGTCGACCAGTTGTTTGGAAGCTTCGAGAGCGTCTTCGAGGCCTTGTTCTTTGTACGAAGGCATGATCTATGACTCCGTACGCTCTTGTTCCCTACCGTATTTCTTATCAACAACCAGGACTTTCTCTTCGTTCGATTATGTTAACGAGAACATTAAGAACTGTCTCAACAGGCAGCCACACCTACCGTCTATCTATGGTGATTTCTACATCACGGATGACTATCTGCTGCATTGCCGTGAACTTATCTTGATCAAAAACTAATCCCAAGGGACCAGTCGCCAATAGTGCATAATTTGCTGTTTATAACGTGACGTATCGCCGCTTGTTCGAATTGCCTTCGGCTTCAGCATGAATTGCATTCTCCTAAGTTGTTCCGGTGAGCATAGTCCCGCCAGATACCGATAGAAAAGGTGAAGCTTCATAGCCGGCTCTATTGATTATCCATGCCAAGCTACTCTCAAGAAAGACACGACGGAGCTATCGAGACGTTCGCTTGTACTTGCAAGAGATGCATCGCCGCCATAGCGTTCCCACCATGTGCATTTATCGAGGGTGTCTGTGCCAGACCGCGCTAGGTCCAACCAAGTTCAAGGATGTTATTGTGAAGCGCAGCACAGCGCTTGTGATCCAGGACGTCCAACTCTCTCAACGTGGTTTCGTCGCTGATGCACCATTCTGCCATGGCGGTGTGTTTAGAAAGAACAAAATGAGATGTGAATAGTGTTAGTCTTTCGATGTAGCACAGTACAGGTTAAGCATGCTAGAGCCTAGAGCTATATATTTTTAGGCAATTGTAAAAAACAACAACTATTTCATAAGTACTCTAGAAACTTATTATCCCTCGCTATTAGCAAATTGCTAACTATCATAGTAAGGCAAAAACAAGAAACAAAAACATACAACAGCGGGGATTCGCCAGTGGTCACCCACCTGACTACTAATCCGCCGGTGCGCTGCTTAAATATGGCTGAGCGGACGGGAAGCCTTGTACTCAACGCCCTGTGGTCGTATGTGAAAGACAAGGCTTCAAAGACGTAATATATTGTTGGCAACAATGTCCGAGAAGCAAGCTTGGCACAGCTTGCCAACTGAACCCTCTCCCTGTGAAGATAAAGTATGGGCCTTTCGCGCCGAGGATCTTGTAATCGCATGCCAACCTATCTGCCGTGTTCTCGGTTAATTCGGAACGCTCTTGTGCGCCCAGTCGGCATGCCAATCCGTTGCCTTGTGCTCAGTATCCTTCTGATGTCATCACGACCCGCCTAATTTTACGATGAACGTATCGACCCCCGCAGCTTCTGTCTCAATGCAGAGCGCGCCGTCTCATCTCATTGCCAATCCGATGGACCCGCAGATGCATGTGTTGTCGTCGTAGTGAGTGTTGTAGGATGGGGTAGGATGCTCTTCGTCCAGCATCAGATCCGCGGGCAAGAGCTCGACGCTGGCGACGGGGCAGATCCACGCAAGGTGGTAATTGCTGCAGCTAAGTCGTTCACTTGAGGCCATGATTGTGCACGGGTGAGGATGGGCAGATGGGAAATGTTCGAGAAAGGAGGCTGACTGCGCGTCGACAAACAAGCGAGGCACCTGCCACTGCCACCAGCTTCAACAACATCATGAACATGAAGACCTTCTCGCCCCTCGATAACCAGCAGCGGTATAGCTTGCGAGATGATCTCTATATCCACAAAATGCACAAGAATCGATTGCTCGGGGTAGATCTTAGCACTCGAGCGTGGACAGATCCTGTCCAGCGCTGGCTTAATAAGTATCTGCGCGCTTTCCGATACCGGAGACTCTCGAAGATATCGCATAGCGATAGTGAGGGCCTCACATCGATCGCTGAAGCTCACCGATGGTCGCAACAGATTATAATACTGATCGCTGAGATTATTGGGCGTGTGACAACCGCAACATTCAATTAGGGAGTGTGTATTCACGCTTTGCACAGATTCCTCAACAATGTTCTCCCCATCTCCCTTCAACGCGCATTTAATCAGATGCTGGATGGAGTTACTCGATTTATTCCCTCCTCTATCTCCTTCCCTTCTCTCAATTCGAGCCCGGCAACTCTGACATCCTCTCTTCCGCCAGCTCTGCTTCCCTCATAGAAATCTCCCTGTGCTTCTCGCTCCGCGCAACAAGTCTGTATTTCAGCGCCGCAGGGTAGCTAACAAGACCGTAGCTGAAGTCGTCGGCGTTGGGGATATAGGGTTTGCCATTTTCGATGACGGGAAGGACTTCGAATGCCCAGAGCATGCTGTTTGCCGACGTCAGTAGGAAGTTAGGGTTTATATGAAGGAAAGTCGGAAGAGTTGATGAGCGGATGAGGAAGCATCGAGAGAAGGGAGAAATGCTCCACTTACCGTGCCAAAGCAATGTAAAGTGACTGCAGCGCAACATACATCCCCGGGCAAATTCTTCTCCCAAACCCAAACACGCCGAACTTGTACGTCTGCAGTCTTGGATCTGCGACATTCAGGAATCTCTCCGGCTTGAAAGCATTACCATCGGGGAATACCGCTGGATCTCTCATCATCATGCTGGGAGAGTTTATATTTGTTAATCACTGGACGGACAGATGAAATTGTAATTTAGGGATCAGGGCGTACTCACGTGCCATTAGGATATATCGCCGTGCCCTTCGGGATGAACATGCCTTTGTACGTATAATCCTGGATCGAAGAGTGCGCAATGACTGTTGGTGTCACGAGGCGCCATCTGCATTGAAATGCACGTCAGACCAACATACTTTACGGACACGTTGGATGGAGAGATATACCTCATAGTTTCTTTGATGAAAGCCTCTAAATAAGGCAGGTTTTTCTGGTCTGCAAAAGTAGGCATACGGTCGCATCCTACCATTCTCTCCATTTCCTCATTGACTTTCGTGTAGGCTTCTGGGTAGTGCAAGATGGCGACTGCATGACACGGTCAGCAATCCATGCTTTCAGGAAGATGGAAAATTAAATGTATCAGAACACCGTTCAGGGGCTTGACATACGCATAGCAATCTCGATTGCAGTAGTCACGGTTCCAATGCCTGCAGCCCACGGAGAAGATAGCGCATAAGACAGTTCCAGGTCATCAAACCCTAATTCCCTTTGTCGTTCGAGAGCCCATTGGGTTGTGCATGGTACTTGCGTGCCCTCTTGCATTCGCTTCTTGACGTCGTTCAATACGGTCATGTAGAGTCTTGTGTTGGTATCTCGGCGTCTTTCAGGTTCCCAGCTGAACCACTGCAGGGGTTTCTGGTGGAGACTTAGTGAAAATTCTGCCATGGACAGGGAAAAGCGCTGCTTACTGGGAGCCATAGTAGTTGAGGCCACTGGTGGTTCTGGTGGTTAGTTCTGATTTCTTGATCGAAGACTATCACTGCTAGAAAAACTCACACTCTCGAGAAAGAAGCGGCCCGGGACCCTGAGAATAGCTTAGTCCATATTCGGATGTTGAGTTCGTAGTTGTGCCTTACTTTGTACTAGAGCGGTGTGTGAATAAGTTGGGAGTGGTCATCTGGTTGCAGCAGCATGGTTTCTGACGTACCTTTCAATATCTGTTCAAGCCATCAGCAAAGTCCTTGTCATAGCGGAGGAGCCAGATACTTACACTCTTCAACCTCATCATGCTCCGTAACTAGCGGATCCTCCAGAGAAGTAACCCTCCGTCCATACGCCATCTGGAACATCGTGGACGCCATGTGCCTACAGCAACCATTAGTACGCACTGATAATCTTCCCTCAGTATTCTCACCTTCTCAGAATCTTGTGTTTGCGGTCCAAAATCCCGTCTTCCGCCTTGTTCTCGAAGAGGTCCTTGATCAGTAATGCCGACTCGTTCTCCTGCATCGGCTTCGCCGCTGGTGATGCCTTGGCGCTGAAATGCGAGTTGTGAATCTATCGCAAAACACCAATCCATTAGCCACCTGTAATGATTTGACTTTTCGAGTTATTCGTTCGGAAAGGAAACAAAAAAGCTAACCGTGCGCCAATTCCGCCAATTCTGGCCATATTCCATGGAAAATCCTCGGAGTCGAGAGAAGAGGAATTCGCTGGCATTGTTTAGAGTTTGACGGGGGTGGATCGGATGGGGGAGGTATTTTGTCTTACCCCATGACGAAGTCAGGACGACTGGAGAAGGTCTCGCCAGCTTTTTCGAGGAGGTCTATAGCTCCCTCCATAGTCCCGAGTACTACCACCCATCACATTAGTCACCCGTTCTCAAGCTCATCGTTGATCAGATCTCGAGGGCTAGGTCACTTACAAACATTCAACTGCGACCCCGTGTAAAAACTCGCAACATTACCTATACCCCACCCAATGTTAGCAAGTCACGCTGCTCTCTACATAGCCGTGACAGGATTAGTAGACTGACCATATTTCTCATTCCACGCCTTGAACACATTCCAGCGATCAGTTTGCAGGTACTTCGCATGATCACTGCCAGGCGGACCAGGCGGGACTTTCGGTCCTTTTCTGCGGAATGCTGCTTTCCGGATGAATTGGATCAAGAAGACGATGACGGCGAAGGGGACTGCTAGTACAAGCAGGTTGGGGATGGGTGCTATCTCGAACAACATTTTTGGGAATGTGTGGCGGTATATGCGCTGCTGTCGTTCTCGAGAACGCCGAAGGCCGAGGGAAAGAAGTGCAAGATGAGATACAAAGGGATTTGAGTTAGAGTAAAGGGTGTATAGTTGAAGTGGTTTATATAGGATCGGACTCAGAGTGAAAACTGTGGGAAGGACTGGGATGTGAATGCTGGTATGTGACGCGTTGGAATGTGAAGGGTTGATCTGCACATCGGAAGCCTGACGCATATATTGGTGAGCTGACTGCAGCAAACATAACGACAAACACACCCACTTTTACACGTTTGCATGCATAAAAAGTTCATGCATGAACGGTGGCTTAGTACTTGGTTACTTGGCTCCCGAATGCAAGTCTCACCACTCGGCGGGCAAACCGTCTTGCTGCTTCTGCCCGGGTATTCTCAAGATTTGAGTGTGCCTTTTTGAGGCTGCAGTTGAAGCCAAGTGGCTTGTATCCTTTATACTGGCATACAAAAAGCCAGTAAACAATTGAAGTCGTTGGAAATTTTGGATCCCTTCGTGGAGGCGCTATGGGAACTGGCTACAGTGCCGAGGTAAATACGTATCCTCGATCAATGCTTGCATGCATACATAGTCTGCGTATGTTGGCCTACACATACAGCGCGTCCAGCAGGCCGAAGTACGGTGACTTCCTATCATAGCTTACGGCTTACATGCCCAGTTGAACTGTAATGAACAGAGGGTGGATGGGTGAACCCCATAACTGTGGTGGATGGGTGGGTCCAATAGCTGTGGTGGTGATGGTTTTGGAGCTGTACCTATGTAGGTAGTTACGGGTGGATGGATCACTTGGTTATCTTGTTAGAAGGCAAGCTTGAGACTTTCTCAGGTTCAGGCGAGCAGCCAAGCAGCGAAGACTTTCATTCAAGTGAGCAATTACTGTCGTAGCATGTAGTCTTGGCAGTACTACGGCTTACCCGCCCCACCTGGCCAAGGAAGGGATTAGCGGGGTGGACGGGTTCGTGCCGTTTTGAGACTCAAACAACTACCGTAATTCGTATTAGAAAGCATCTGCAAGTAGCCTTGATGAAGCTGTACTAGGCGTAACACAGCCTGTTGGACGCGCTGCACACACCTAGACTTGCACATAGAGATTCATGCATGCAACACACACATTCACACGTATCTACAGATGTCCTTGCTCTTTCTCTCCGTCTACGCATGCTCGAAAGATATGACGTTGGTTTTGGTTTTGGTGCTCTCTCGTAGATCACAAGTGCGAGAACGGCACTACCCGCCTCAAAGTGACTGGGCCGCTGCAGAGCCTCACAGAGCCTTCGGTCCTAGCGAATAACGAGCTTCTGTACCAGCTATGGCGGCGTACGTGCTCCCTGCATGGTGCTGAGCCTCGAGAGGATGCCGAGAATCCATATGGAAGCCCCCGCGTCGCCGTGCTTGGTTAAGGGGTGCTCAATTCCTTGCATACGAACAGCCCCATCAATCAGGTAGAAGGATTCCCCCACTGAGTCTCTGTAACCGGTTGAGGCGCAGCAGATGTGTCTGCAGTTGCTGTGCTAACGATCTTGCATACTCACGCTTGCCTGCCCTGTTTTTTGTCTTTTGACCCCCTCGGCCAAACTACAGCTGGCACTCTCGTCTCCTTTCTTGGCACCATTTCGATCGTTCAATTTACTGTGAAATGCGCGATGCCAGACTATGCGCGGAGAGATGAGCGATAGCACAGTTGCAGAAGGTGACACAAACGCAACCTTGTTTCATCTCCCTTGCATGAGAGAATAGCCAGCATCTCGCTTAGAGACTCTGAGCAGCGTGACGTTGGCAATTCTGCACGCTAAATGGCTGCAGTCCTCTGCTTAGTTCCCTGCCTATACCTTGACTGGGTCCAAGAGTGGAAGAACAAGCAAGTACCTCTGCGCAAAAATCCCTGACTCGGTGTGTACGTTTGCTCTCACCGGCATACTTGATGGAGGGCGCCTGTACGTTCTCGCAGTGCCTGAGCCAGAATCTCCTCGACCAAAATATCTCGCCAGCAATAAAGAACATGTGGAACGACAAGGACGTATTGACCAGAGTATGCAACGTCCTCTTTATCCAGCAAAAGAACGGGAAGCTTACTCCGTATGACGACACGGCAGCACCGAAGCTAAGATGCATACCCAAGCATTTGATGATTGGCCAGAGCAGTGGAATAAAGCGGACCTAAAGCTTTTTCTGGGATTAGCCAACTGCTCCAGGAATGCAGGCAGCGGCCCCGCTTTACTCCAAGACTGGCTCCCGGGTTTGGACAAGGGGCCCCCGCAAGCAACCGTGCCACATTGGCGTTTGTCAAAGCGAAAGCAGTCCCAACGCTCACTCGCCGGGCTCCCAACAATATCGCGACACATCACGACAATGGCCTCTGTCCACCCACCGATCGATGGTGATATGGGTGATGTGAGAGTGGTTGCCTTTTCTCAGGGCGATCCTGAACGCGCTGCAAATTGGAGTACTGTACGTGGATAAGTCGTGGTTCTACAATTACGTTTAGCTTCTCACTTTCACCAGCGCAGAAAGATTCTCGTCCTCATTATCGGGCTTGCACTCGCATCTAACAGCACACTTGGTTCCTCTCTCCCAAGTGGCGCTTCTCACTATCTGTCCAAAGAATTCAATGTATCGAGTACCGAACAACTGGCATTGCCAAACTCCGTCTTTCTGATTGGATATGTCTTTGGGCCGCCGTTGTTCAGTCCACTCAGCGAGATGCATGGCAGAAGAATCGTGATGCTTTCGACATTTTTCGGCTTTACAGTTTTCACCCTGGCATGCGCTTTGGCACCTACATGGACAGCTCTGTTGATTTTTCGCTTCGTCTCGGGTGCCTTTGCATCAGCGCCAATAACAGTTGTGGGCGGAATTTTTGCCGACATCTATGATGACCCTGTGAGAAGAGGTCAGGCAATAGCCCTGATAGGAGCAAGTATATCATGAGGGAAAGTTTACAGATTCTAACTGGACTTAGTTGACCTCTATAGGCCCAATCATTGGACCTATCATTTCGGGATTCGTATCACCAGTCTCGTGGAGATGGTCGTTTTGGGTCGGGCTGATAATTGCTGGTGTAACTTGGCCGCTTGTTCTTGCTCTTCCAGGTAAGATATTTGACATTGTTGCCCTTGATGAGCTACACCTGACATGTGCTTCAGAGACGTATCCTCCAGTCATACTTTTGCGGCGTGCAAAACGGATGAGAGTGGCATCGCCCAATAGCTCTCGTGCCATATACGCGCCCATTGAACTTGAGGATAATGGATGGAAGCACACTGTGACGGTAAAGCTCGCAAGACCGGTATGTGATGGTTAAATTACTGTAAAGCTTAGCTAACTATTTAGGTGGTGATGTTCAAAGAACCCATCGTTATCTGCACCTGCATGTACTTGGCTCTCCAATTTGGCATATTCTATATCTTTTTTCAAGTTTACCCCATTGTGTTCCAAGGTAAGTCCCCATACTTACTGGCTGTATTTTCATACTAACTTCTTCTAGGCGTATACAAGTTCAATGATGGGCTGGCTGGTGTAGCCTTGGTTCCAGGTCAGTCAAGTGCCGAAAACTAGCTGAATTGTTTACTAAGATTTTAGTCGGCGTTGGTGGCGTGATAGGGTGCGGCATAGCAATTTGGTACGACATATTTCTCGAACAAGCGAAGAAACGCAATGCTTCGTGGCCAAAGAGCGAAGAATATCGTCGACTTCCTTTGGCGTGCATCAGCGGGCCATTAAATGTGTTATCGCTATTCTGGCTGGTAAGACTTCCAAAGCCACACCGCGGGGATCTTGAGCTAATTTACATGTTATCAGGGTTGGACAGCCCGATCAGACATTCACTGGATCGTTCCCATGCTTGCCGGAGTCCCATTCGGCATTGGTCTCGAATTGGTTTTCATATCCATGCTGAATTATCTTGCAGACGCATACGACCTTTTTGCGGCATCGGCTTTGGCATCGTCGGCGTTCAGTCGTAGCATTTTTGCGGTCCTGCTTCCATTGTCTGCTGGTCCGATGTATGAGACACTCGGGATCCCATGGGCGTGCAGTCTTCTAGGTTTTCTCAGTCTAATCATGGCAATCATACCGTTTGTCTTTCTCAGATATGGCACTTGGCTTAGAATGCACAGCCCTTACTGCCAAGAGCTGCTGAAGCTGAAGGAGCGCGGTTCAGCAGATACATCACAAGTCATGATGGAATCTAGAAGCGCGGAATAGCCAATTTGTGTGGCAGAAGTATGCGAGCAAATGGAATAGAGATTTTTTGTTCCTCGCAAATCGCTTCCGTAAGATCTGGTAGCAAACGTGATTGTAGTGTTCCAGGGCCACGGCAGCCGTGTTGTAAAATCAGTGATCCTGGAACCCATAGCACGACTGAGAATCAACATGTATGTGTTGAGGAACGAGAGTTACAATTTCTCTGCATATGACTCGATGATACACTCTCAAAACACATTTTGGTGATCGAAATCCTTTCCCTGGAAGAGAACGTATGAGGCGTTCCCGCCCAGACTTCTGGAGTCTGGGCAAAGCCGCGTGTCAACCCATCTCCGCCACGCTCGGTTAATTCGGATTGTTCTTGTGTATGCGCCCAGTCGGTATGGACATCCGTTGCCTAGTGCTCGTTACTTTTCTGATGTCATCACAGCCTGCCTAATTTACGATGAACGGAAATGCCATGTGAGTGGTGTTGAAACTTTACCGGTACAATAGTTTGCAATAACCCCAACATCCTATATGGATGAAGCTTCCGAATAACTTCTATGCAACGGCGCGCCAGCTTTTACCCTAAAACTCGACGGATGTTTAGTCGAACAATCTATAGATAACATTGATGAGGCCACGAGGTCGGGAGCTCGGAGGATGTAAAGATGTTCTTCTTGGAACCAAGTCTAAACACAAGGTCTGCTAACCCGGCGTCGTATGGATCAGCCATATTGCTGAACATCTAGAGAAAGATAAGGAACGTAGCTAAGACACTAAAAGTCTACATGTGGTCAGAGCCTAGGAGTAGCAGAGTGGAGTCGATAACAAGAAACCAGGCGCCGCGAATCAGTCGTTCTTGACCATTACCTGTACTCTGGGACATTTCCACTTTTTCTGTAGTTTCTTTCCCCTCTCTTTTCCAGCTCTTTAGAAACATCCTTCCCTTGACCACACCCCCATACGCAGCCGCATCCTATCCTACCATAGGTTCTCGTCATGGACAGACTCAGAAGGATTGGAAATAAAATCGCACCACCTCCGCAAAAGGCTGCGGATGGCCGCGATCAATGGCCTTCTCGTACTGCATTCATACTCGCTTCATTGAGTGGTGTCATTGGAATGGGCAACTTCCTGCGATACCCATCTACGGTCTTCAACAACCACGGGTTGCAATGGTTCATACCGTACCTACTGGCCCTGGTCCTACTTGCAGTTCCTGCCCTAGCTCTCGAGTTGGCCGCTGGCAATGCCTATCGTGGTGGTACCGTCACTGCTTTCAATAAGATCAGTCGGCGAATGAGAGGAACTGGGTTTGCCCTAAACTACGTCGGTCTCGTCGTCAGCATTTATTTCATCCCTATCATCGCCTGGGGAATGGTCTTCTTCCAAAAGTCGTTCACTAGCCCGCTCCCCTGGGCCGGCAACACTGAGAGCTACTTCATGTATGAGGTGACTAGTGCAATTGATCCTGATTCATCTGGAACCTGGGTGGACTACCCTGGGACGAGCTTCGACGGTCGCCTCGTTGGTTGGAACGCGTTTCTGTTCTTCCTCGTATGGCTTTGTATATTTCGTGGCACCGGTTGGACGGGTCGCGTAGTTTACTTCACCATGGGCATGCCACTCATCGTCATTGTAATACTTATTGGACGAGGCGCTTCGCTACCAAACGCCGGGCGTGGGATCCGACTGTATTTTGCGACCTGGAGATCTGAAGCTCTTAGCGGAACCGGTATCTGGCAGGATGCTGTCGGTCAGGTCTTTTACTCAACAGGCGTCGGTTTTGGCTTTTACACAGCGTATGCTTCATACAACCATCAATTCGCCAACGCTGCTCAGGATGCTGTTATCCTTGTTTTTACAAATGCTTTTCTCGAGGCCTCACTTGCATTCGCCGCATTTGGCATTGTGGGCTTCATGGGTATGACTCCCGATCCGGAGAATCCAATGGGAAGTTATAGCTTAGGCTTCATGACCTACCCCGAGGCTTTTGTCCACATGCCGGGCTCAAACTTTTGGTCTGCTCTCTTCTTCCTCACTCTTGCGGTCGTCGGTGTTAGTTCAACTTTCGTCATGCTTGACGCATTCATGACATTGATCATGGATTCCGCGTTCGCTCGGACTAGACGTTGGACACGAACATGGGTAGCGACTGTGCTTGTGTTTGTCGTCTTCCTGTTATCTCTCCCGAATTGCACGCAATTTGGATATTACTATCTGGACGGCATCGACCGATGGATCAACAACGTTGGTTTGGTATTTGTCGTCTGGGCTGAATGCGTCAGTGCCACCACAGTATATCGCTTCGAGGACGTCGTCGATCAGGTTGGTTTACAAGCCTACATTACCTACAATGCCGGATTCTTTGGAGCTCAGCTTTTGAGTCTCATCATCGGTCACACCGTCGGCGTGGAGGCTGGTGCGGGCGTGGGTTTCGGTGTCTTCATTATAGTTTTAATCCCTGCCGTTGTGATTGCGAAGACTCCTACAGTCAAAGTCACTGCCAGGCGATTTGGCGGTTACGGCTACGCCTCGAAGCTATACTACCTCGCCTTCTATTCGGTAAGCTTCTAAAGTTGTAGCCGACGATGCGCTGACATATTCGCAGGGCAACCAACTTCGTCATGATCTGAATGCCGTCATTGGGGGCGAGAAGAACTGGACACTGCCTTTCTTTTGGGCGCCCTTGCTGCGATACTTTTCTGGTCCCATCCTAGCCATTATCCTCAGCCTCGCATACCCTAGCTTCGACCAGCTCCGTTACGACCCACTCCACGTCATGGGCTTCATAATCGCCCATTTCTTGCTTGTCTGGTGTGTGATCGGGTTTGTGATACCCCAGTGGCTTGACATCTTCATCATACCGGAGCGCAGGGACGACTGGAAACAGCCACTTGCACCTGGGATTCTGCGCGACACCACAGAAGGAGAAGTCGTCGATCGCTTGGAGACTGGCTCACAATTCGACATGACAGAAGGCAAGAAGGATGATTCCGTGAACAACAACACATCGAATGGAAGCCTACGACACGACAGTAATAGCTCCGTGACTGCAGATCTAAGAGGTGACAACGCTGATAGGCTGTAAGCCTTCCTACAAGCTTGAATATACACAACTTGACCTGAATTGTGGGTACATGCATTCAAGATGCGAGACAAATTTCACTCCATGTCCTATGATATGTTCGCAGACGAGAAGCATTGCATGTTATCCATTGGCCTAGGGCTGTTTGTGAATATTTCGTATGTAACACATATCATGTACAATTTCCAAAAGGGTCCAAACAGCATTGACCTGTTTTGCCGTCGGGCGGGTCCTGCGCGTCGTTAGCCCATTGAAACGGGACTTCACGATTATGCGACCCAGCATCCAGTCTCAATCCCTCGGTATATGCAATATCATATGACCATCATTTTTTCAGCACTGCTTGCAATGATAACGCAAAGATTATCCGATACACGCAAGCCTTAGCGAAAGGACGGGCGATCCGTTTCGTGGCTTAATGGTACATACCCTACCTCAGAGCGACTAAGGTCGACCTAGAAAAGTCTCGAATTTACGTGGCTGAGCTTAACCACTCAGTCAAAAAGAAACACAAAACACGAGTTCTGGACGGGTCGAACACTTCAGCACACGCATGGAGCTAGCTTAGAAGAGCCTCGGCAACTTTTAACTTTCAGCATGGCTCATACATGTCGACTCGCGCGATTGGCAGCTTGCTGCAAAACCACAGACATTTGCGTTGCGAACGGTTCTATCGCTCTTGCCGAAGGAAATCCACGGCGGGCCAGAACACCAAGACATGTGTGGCGCCACGCTAGGGACTACCCGCATGGGGTTCAGCTGAGGGTTATCATGTCGACGTGCCTGCATGCGGTTCAGCTGAAAGCCTCTGAGCTGTGTGCGGTTAAGCCAAAATCCTTTACAACGCATGAGGTTCAGTTGAAAGCTGCCATGCCGTATGAGGTCCAGCTGAGGGTTTTCACCCCAATATGGGCCCGCATGAGATTCAGCTGAAGGCCTCTGCGCCAACCTAGCCCAACCAGCGCACCCTGGACACCATTATCATCATTATTTAAGATGGCTGCTCGCCATTGTTTCGATCATTCAGACTTTCGTTCCTGTACTACACAATCTCTGCATCACCAATATCGACAGCAACCATGGCAGAAATGGTCGAAGCAGCTCCTAAGAAGATCATTTTGTGCTGCGATGGTACCTGGCAATCCTCTGTGAGCGGGAAGCACAACCTGCCATCCAACATTACACGCATTGCGAGGACCATTGCGAAAGCCGGTCAGGACAAAGAAGATGGCAAGGTCTGGCAGCAGATTGTTTACTACGACTCCGGTGTGGGATCCGGCAGCTTGTCATCACTCGAATCTAAACGCCAGGGAGCTACTGGGGATGGTCTGGTGGTCAACGTGCTCGAAGCCTACAACTTTGTGGTTAACAACTATTCGCCAGGAGACAAGATTTATTGTTTCGGCTTCAGCAGGGGCGCATTTACAGCTCGAGCAATTGCTGGCATGATTACCGACCTTGGTGTCATGAAGCCCGACTCCATGCAGTACTTTGCATCTCTATTTGCCGCTTATCAGAAGAACACGAGCAAATACACCTTTCGAAAGACCAAAGAATACTTCGAGTGGAAGCACGGAAAAGCTCCGTTCGTACCTGAAAGCCAGAAAGAGACGTGCGATGTCAAGATTCCTTGGTACGACATGGGTACGTACGCCGAGGAGTATGAAAACTCTCGATCGATTGAGCTTGTCGGTGTTTTCGATACCGTGGGAAGTCTTGGATACGCAGACTCCTACGTCCACAGCCATGCATCAAGTCGGCAGGGCTTTGAGTGGCTTAATGTCAAGTGGAGTCCATGTGAGTTACCTGACTCAAAACTTTCGTACGGAGTTTTGGACTGATCATATTTAGACATCAAGCATGCCTTCCATGCTTTAGCTCTAGATGACCGTCGCCAGCCTTTCCTACCAACATTGTACTACATCCCGAATTGTAGCGAGGAGACCATCTCAAAAGAGAACGAAAAACTAGCAGAGGGAAGAAGTAAATGGGCCTGAGCTTACTGAGCACCGTCAAAGAATTGATGAAGAGCTG